AACACATATGAAGCTTTCCTTTAAACTGCTGTGCTTAAATTTAAGATCATATTATTAGTGCCAGGTGACAGAAGGGATGGTAACCCTGTCTTAAAACAATGGAGAAGCAAAAAGAATAGTTGGTTTTGAGAGAAAGGTGATGACTTTCCTTTTAGAGATGTCCTGAGATGTCAGCAATATATCTACAGGAATGTCCAGAATTAAATTTTGTAATGTGTCACAAAAATTCATAGAAAAGGCCAGGCATAGAGGTATTGATTGAAGAGCTCTCTGTGTGGATGTGACCACTGTCTCTGAATTTTGACGATTCCCTGTCCATTTATATCTCCCATGCAGATACATATAAGAGGAATAAGATGAGCTAAAGTTTTGTTATCTTAAATAAATTACTGTATTTCCTGTATAGAAGATGCAGTGAAAAGCTCATAGGACAGACGTACAGAGGTATTTGTTTAAAATGGAATTTGGATTGTATTGTCATATTTCAAGTGCGTTTAGTACAAATGTGCTAAGTATATTCGCGATCACTGCAATCCTATGATGGAAACAGAATTATCCATCTGTGCTGGCCTCTGAGCTCAGGTCTCTGTGATGAAGCCCAGCAGGCTCTGTCCACAACAGCAATGGTCACTGGTTTTTATGAAGTGTGTTAAATAGTCTTTCTCCCTTGATTTTGGATGTTCACGGGAGAACTACTATCTTTACTTCGCTAAAAATTTAGTCCTATTTCTTGAGACAAACTGCACCAGTGCTTTCGTTTATCTGTGTGGGTGTCTTTTTTTTCTTTTTTTCCTGTTCCAGCCCATACCCAGTATTCTTGTAAGATAACTGAGGGCTGCTAGATCATGAGCAGAAAATCAATCAGAATAAGTGGCAGGTCCGTGCAAGTCCGCACATGTACCTAAAGTTCCCAAGGTACAGCTCGCTCTGGTGGTCTCAGATCCGGACTAGCATTATGTTCAGGAAATAAACGACAAGGACATAATCCGAGTGGAAAGACAAGGATGGTCTCAGTCTTTGAAGAGACGGGTTTCGGCAATATGTTACTTCCCTAATCGACCACATCCTCAAGGATTTGTGTGGCTCTATTAATCTGCCGGTCAGAAAAGTACTCAGTAAGGGTCAGTAAATCCCTGGTGATTTTAAAAGTATTTTATAAACCTGTGGATAGGGATGTGTTAGATGTCCTTGAGTCTGAAGCTTCGCCACATCTTTGGATCTTCTTTTAAGACAAATAACATGAAATTGCATAGTTTTAAAAATTGGCCATGGAAGTTCCAGGTTCTCGACTTCACAGTAAATCCACATCCATCACAAGGATTGTTGATTTAAGACCTGCAGTCTGTAAAGTTAATTAGCACTTTGCTCTCTGATTCATATATGAAGATGTCATTGCTTTTCATCTCTCCTTGTCATTTCCTATTTGAGATGACCATCCTGACATTCCCGTTTGGGACCACTGAGGAGAATCCGGTGTAACCCAAACCCAGAGAGCCCCCTGCACCTCTCCTAAATCTGCTCTCTGATGAGTCCTGCTTCCACATCTGCTGATGGGACTAGGATGGGGAGAAGGCAAAGACTTTCTGAAAAATAAAATGGTTTCATCATAACCCTGGGCAGAGATCCAAGTGTAACACTTTTATTTCACTGCAGAGCACATACTATAAGGAGGGGGGTGGGAAATGAATTGGGAACAGTTTCTCAAAGAGCAGTGAACAATAACAAGAGGCAGTTCTGAAAAGAAATCTGATTTTCCAAAAGCTGTTTTTCTTTTTGGAGGTGAAAGGTCATGTTACAAGGAGCTTAGAGCTCCATAAAATGGCTGAACAGAGCTAACACATACATGGCAAGTGACTTTTTTTTTTTCAATGCTGATCAAAAAAAAAAGATATGAGTCGGATTTACCTCAACAGTGGCTGGCTTGAAGTGCCATGGGGAGATGGTGATTTAGGTATGTTATAGACCCCTACGGACCCGTAAATATCTGAGAACGTGAATGTTTTTGCTCTGGTAAGGTGGTTGTTTACAGAATACGACAGGCTTGCTCCCTGTAAATTATATACCAGATGCCTGGAACCGGTGTTATTTCTAAATATAGGCACTCGCCTCCCGTGTGGCTGCAGGGAGACTGAAGCAGTGAGCATTAATTAGATTAGCTGGTGAAAGTTACAGACTTTTTGTGAAACATTTTCACATTGAATAATTTATCCTAAGGAGTTCAACTGAGCTTTTATTTTTTAAATCTTAGATACCCAATGTAAAGTCTAACAAGATTGTAGAGTTTAAAAAGTTGTAAATGAAGATGTTTATTTTTTGTTTGGTCTTGAGAAAGCTTATAAATCTTTATACTGTAAAGCATATCTGTATTGAAAGGTAAGATATTTAATATTGAATATATCTGAATAGAAATTTGCAGTTGCTGATTTTCAGATGTTTGAAAGGGAGAAGCAGGGAGGGGTGAAGGTTTAGTTCAAAACAGAAACTGGAGCGTGATGGATCCTCTGATTCTCACATGTTACCAGATTAATTATAGAAATTCATCTAAGGAATTATAAGGAAGCAGACCAGGTTGGGTTGCTTGGGAGTTAAGTAAGCAGAATTCAAAACAAAAACTTTTTTTCATTGACTCGCCAGCATGTACTATAAATTACTCCTGTAATGGATTGCTATGACTTTATTTCTCAGAGCTAGCTTAGGAAAGAAAAAGATAGCAACAGTGTTGATCATTGGCTTAAATACATTTATGAATCATTCAATTGCTTTAATATGATTTAATTAAGCTGATAGCACTGAAAATCATTTTGGTCAATAGATGCTGTTACTTATGGCTTGAGTTCCCCTAATTTTGGAGAAGACTTGTTCCTTTAAATTCATATTAAAAACCTTCTGTATGTATCGGTTCATATTTAACAAAGAATGCAAGGTATTATTTGGGCATTTACATGGCAGGCATACACATAGCATGCTCCTTTCCAGCCTGCTCTCAATCCTGTCTCACAGGTAGTATTTTTCCTATTTTATGAGCAAATTGACCTGCAGAGAGTTTAGGTCCTCCCTGAAGGCCACCACCCTAATCTGGTATTAAAGGCCAGGCCTGCCCAGTCGCTCCGTCTTTTTCCTCCATGACCCTTCTGGGCTCCAACCTGCATCTCATCTCTCTCTTTCTCCTGGTCTCCATTTCTCTCACCTCCCCCTCCTCTAGCCCACCCCACTGCTTTTAGGCCACAAGCAGCAGGGCTCCTGGGCAGGTGAGCAGAGCTGAGTCCATCCAGTAAAATATTAGTTAACGGGGCAGTGGCTCTCAGAAGACTGGCCCCTGCCTTTCAGGACAAGGGAACCCTCTCCCACACCATATATTCCCAGTGGGCTTCTCACTGACCACCACCCACACTCTCCTGCAGGCCGTGAGACATTTAATTCCCTTCTCATGCCAATGGAGGTCCTATGAATAGAGATAATAGCAAATGCACATACAAGACTCTGGCTTCAGCTTTTTTTTTTTTCTTCTACCGTAAAGGACTTGAGGCTTGGTGATAAAAAAAATGGCAATGAGGACAGAAAGCTCTGTGACCATCTTGGAGGAGAATAGGGGGCTGTGATGGGTGGTAAATTCAGTAAACCCTTACATTTCTTTATTTTGGTCCTGATGTGGCCTATTTTCTGAATGATGCTTTTCCATTTTTTCTGTCTTTTGTGAACAACAGCAAGCAATGCTGAATGGTCCAGAAGACTAATGAAATCATTTTGATGGATAAATTGTATGTAAAATAGGAATATCTAGTACCCCTCAGTTGTTAGTATTATTAATTTTTCTGCCCCTTACAGTCTTAATAGTTTACTAGAAAGAAATAAGTCCAAAATGAATCCAAAACGCCATTTCTGTAGACTGTTCTGAGTGCCCACATCTGGTTAATTGCCAGATTAGCCAGTGACGGTGGAAGAACGGGCGGTGATAACAGATCAGCCTCATACAATTCAGCATACAGCGTTCAGCGATAAAGTAAGGATAATGAAATTTATTAACCCATTATATAGGAGGGAGCATTATAAATCATTATAAATATTTATAGTGAATATTTAAATTCAAACATTTATTTAAGCATTGATTACTTAAAACCTTGTTAATTTACTACTGCTGTGCTGAATAAATGAACATAGTGGTTTTACACATGCAATCTGTTTGGAAAGTTAATAATTTGCTTATTTAAACATTCACCATGAAAACTGATATATGTTCTGAAGTCTTCCAGAGTTGTGCTTTGCAGTCAAGTTGTTTAATGATAAAACAAACAATTGCATATGATTTTGAAAGCATTGAATTTTATCTTCATAGATGGAACTTGAAACATAACTGTTCCCCCCCAAGACTTACTTATGATGATGACTTTAGCATTTTATTTTGTGAGAACATAAGGCTTCAATTCTTATAGATTATTATTTTCCTGCCAGATTTGCCCTATTAACAAATAGTTATTGGGGTAAACTAATTCAATTCTGCTTTTAATATGATATGGGAGTGTTGCATCCTGGAAAGAAACAATACCCCAAAACTAATAAAAGATAACTCTTTGTTCAGTTGATAATTCAAAGAATTGGATGTTGGGCTTATTAATTTTTTGGATAAGCAGGAAATAATGCTGGGTGGAAAGGCAAAACAATGGTAATCGAGTTGTAACAATTCAGTTCTGGAATTAGAGTATGTGACTCTTTTTAAATGTTTTCATTTCTTCTAGAGCTTTCACTTCCTCAACTTTAAAACAGAAATAATAACGATACATACCTCAAAGAGCTGGTGCCGGGTGTGTGCATGCTTCTTTGTGTCCGACTCTTTGAGACCTAATGGGCTGTAGCCTGCCAGGCTCCTCTGTCCATGGGATTCTCCAAACAAAAATACTGGAGTGGGTTGCCATTTCCATGGGGTCGGAAAAGAGTTGACAACAACAACCACCATGAGGGTTTGCTCTAACTCATAGATTTTTGTTTTCTTTCTTTTCTGGAAGGTTCCTGGGCAGATCGGTCACCACTACATGAAGCAGCCAGTCAAGGTCGTCTTCTAGCTCTGAGAACATTGTTATCACAGGTAAAATATAACATATAATTTTATAATGTAATATATTATAATACATAAGTTTATGATATAACCTATAGTTTAAAATTTGTCTCTGTTCCCTGAGCATTCATTATCAATAGTAATCAACTCAAAAACAACAAAATTGCTTAATAACTTTTACTAGCTTTTTATTTTAACTCATATTTTTGGCCAAATCCATAGTTTCTCATTTATCTTTTGAAACATGTTTTAAAACATTTTGGTATAGTCTTATGTCTTAGTATTTCAAATTTCTCACACATTTTAAATATGCTTACATCGGTACAATGGTGTGCAGCTAATTGTAGGCTTAGTTTGGTCATAAAATATCCAAGAAAGGATAATCAGACCAGATGCTGTAACAATGCTCTTTACATTATGGTAATCTGTAGTAAGTTATGGGGGTTTGCCTATGAAAGCCACAAAACAGTCATTTTTACACCTCTCTGATATCAGACTCACCGGAGGGAAAAAGAAAAGCACAGAGTCCTTTTAAAGGACTCTGGCTTGGCCAGTGGGATATGAATGCACACCCAAATCTGCACGTCCTTGCCCTGGTGTTTCTCAGAATCAGGGAGACAGGAGTTTTCTCAAAGGACTACAAGGGGGGAAGTGTTGTGTTACCCACTGTAAGTGACACTGCCCTGGGCTCCGGTCACTTGGACTCCCGGCTGGCACTTGAGGTGAACAGAGCTTCCTTTTACTCACCTGTGAACTGAGGTTGCAGAACAAGACAACTCCTTAGGGCCTTCCAGTTCTGGGATAATCTGCTGACTATGTGGTTCGCTCATCACTTGATGAAATACACAATAAAAACTGCAAAACCATCACTCACTGCTGAGGTGCGACCCCTCTGAAAGGGTCACGCAGTTCTTGGAGAGGAGAAGTGTCTTAGGAGATTTGTAAGCGCATGTCCACAGACAGGCCAGCCGAGAGGGTCAGAGGCTGTGTCCGGAGCCCTTCTGAGACGGAACCAGGACCCTTGCAGAGGCTTCTGTCATCGGTCACCCACGTGGGCAGTGGCTGATAATCAGCTCTCCAGGTCTGGCTGCGGACTGGCCAATTTGAAACCTCTGACAGGGTGATTCAAGGGATCTTTAAAAATTGCCACTCGCTAGTAGCAAAGATTTGGGATGATATTTATTTTCTTGCCTTCATGTTAAGATTCTTCGTGTCCTTCCTGGTGTTATTATAGATCATGGTAACCTGTAAGATGTTATGGGGCTTTGGCCACAAAAATCTTCCTGTGATGGTGGTAGTATGATTGTCCATAGAGTGAATTATCAAATATAGCAGGAAGGCAAGGAATCTTTTTCCCTAGCAACAGTTAAATATTTTAGACTGATATCATTAGTTTATTTGGAATGAAAATATTTAGGTTTTACTTAATTTTGATTGAATAATAAAATAAGACATTTTCTGTGTGCTGGGCATTTTAATCATTATTGCTTTGCATGTATCATCTCATTTAATCGTACCAATATATTTAGAGGTTAGAGTAGCAATCCAAATTTAAAAAAATACTGCATTATGGCACTTCAAACTCACATCTAACTGACTCTATATTGAGACTTGTTAATCCAAATTTAAAAAAATAACTGCATTATGGCACTTCAAACTCACATCTAACCGACTCTATATTGAGACTTGTTAACCACCAGCATATAATCTAGTTGATGTGGCTCAGAGCGGGCTGCCCCAAATATGTCAAGGTGGCTCAGAATCTGTCGGACAAACCACTTAAGGCTGTGTGGGATGCAATATTGATGGTTATAACAGTTTGGTTCAGGGGATCTCACAGCTGCGTGGCTCTGGGTGTTTGAACTGGTCGTGCCTGCTAATCTGAAACCAGATTTTCCTGAGATGTTCTGGTCTTTGCTATCACCTTCTAATGAAAAATCAGGGGATTTTTCTCTGACTTTCTGCCCACGTTTCAAAATTATTGATGTCATATTTAGGGTTATAATGTCAACGCAGTGACCATAGACCATGTCACGCCATTACATGAAGCCTGCCTTGGAGATCACGTGGCCTGTGCCAGGACACTTCTGCAAGCTGGAGCCAACGTAAGTGCCCCCGGAATGCGTTCCCCGTCCCACATGGGCTGCCTGAGAGAAGCAGGCAAAATCCTCATTTTGCTTCTCTTGCCTTCTTAGTAGTTTTCAAAAATAGAGCAAAAGAAAGCTCTCAAATTGCCTGTTAGCACTCCAAGCATGACTTCCAATCTTTGTAAAAGAATGCGTAGCACACTGCAGGGTATGGAGTATCCCTTAGGCTATTTCCTGCTTTTGAGATTCTAAATAACAATAGGTGAACATCTTTAAGCTATAATGTTTGCTCATCTTTTGAATTTATTTTTTTAGATAAATTCTCAGAAATAGGATTTCCAATTTCAGCTGCCAACCGGCAAAGTGGCTTCATCACTATTACATTTGTACCTTTTTCCCCCTAACTACGAAGTACCTAATCATTTAATGCGTTTCTGTGTATTTGATTCTAGAGTTTTTTTCTCCCAGAATTCCACTAGTTTCATGCCCACTCCTGTGGATTATCCACCACTTCATATTTCTATTTATCCCTTAGCATTTTCAAGCTCTGCTTACGGATGTGTGTGTGAGCTTAAATAGGCTTTGTCACATTTACTGCACACACCTTCTCAGTTAATATCTGTTTCCACACACATACCTGTTTTGAATGCCTGACAGCGAATGGCGAGTGGTTCTGTGACTCTCATCCTCAGAGCTCTGGTTTGGTCTAGGTAAACGCGATCACCATAGACGGCGTGACCCCATTATTCAACGCATGTTCACAAGGCAGCACCAGCTGCACAGAACTGCTCCTGGAATATGGCGCCAAACCCCAGCTGGAGTCCTGCCTTCCTTCCCCTACGCACGAGGCGGCCAGCAAAGGTGACTGTGGCTGGGTGGAGTGACAAGGGGAGAAAGTCCCTTCAGCCACAGGCATAGTGAATAAGGCTGCAGGGAGAAGCCTGGGGGGCAGCTGTGTGTTGGAGGTGGGGCTTCAGGAGACTCAAGCTCACCTGTACTTTGTGTTGGCAGGTCACCACGAATGTCTGGAAATCCTGATATCCTGGGGTGTAGATGTTGACCAAGACATTCCCCATCTGGGAACCCCTCTGTATGTAGCTTGCATGTCCCAGCAGTTCCATTGCGTCCGGAAGCTTCTTTACGCTGGTAATTTTCTATACCCCATCTTCCATTCTGTCTGTACACACAAGCGGTTCTTCAGCTTCATGTTGACTTTTCTAAATAAGCTTCTTTAAAAATTACACCTTATGGATAAAAATGTTCTTATTCTAAGCATCCTCACCTATAACTCTAAAATCCATAAAAAGGACATTTGTGGTAACTCCACTTGACCTCAAAACTCCAAAAGTCCTACCTATTAAAGGTCATAAAATTAAAATCCTCAAGGTTGGATATAATGGTGCCAAAGATCTCTATCTCTGTGAATAAACCTATCAAAAGAAACATTAGGGATTATAACTGTTTAGGTAACCTTGTATTTCAAGACTTTGCCCCACTTTGTAATTTACCCAAAAAGACTTAATACCCTTTCACTTTCTTGAAACAAGCCAATTCCTTAAACTTCAGCTTCAGCCCCTAAGAAACTATTCATAATCTTCTGAGACCATGGGGTATCTTCCACTCTAGGAATGTGAGCCCTTTTAAGATATAAATTATATCTTTTTTTCCCTCAACTCTTCCCTCTAGCTCAGTTGCCTCTCATGTGCCAGGTGCTCAAAATATACATAAAATGAGTAAATGGATTTCTGTGGTTTTTATTGTTTATGACACTCATTCAGACTCTGATATATGAAAGTGAGAGATCGTGTCCGACTTTTTGCGATCCCATGGACTATAGCCCTCCAGGCTCCTCTGTCCATGGGATTTCCCAGGCAAGAATACTGGAGTGGGTTGCCATTCCCTTCTCCAGGGGATCTTCCCGACTCAGGGATGGAACTTGGGTCTTGCACATTGCAGGCAGATTCTTTACCATCTGAGCCACCAGGGAAGTCATGTATATTTTTAGTAATCCTATTATGTGTTACTCACTTCATCTTGGCTAAATTATAGACTTCTTCAAGCAGTGTCTGCATCCACTATTTCTTTCTCTTTATACCTAGTAAGAGTCTTAAACATGAGTTCTGCTAATAATGGCTGGCAGATTGTTATTTTCTGGCACTGTTCACCCATAAATTTGTATAACCAGAAGAATTTATTCTTTACAACCTTCTTTATTTTGCTTGCAATGTTATTCTCTTCCCAATATTTTATATTGGGCAAAAAACAACAACAACAATAAGCTGAAGCAGTATTGTTAGTAATTGTGGATTGGTTGTTATTTGCAGGCTCTGATCTCCCATAAAATTGGTGTAACCAATGAAATTTATGCTTTCTCTGTGGAGACTTTGTTATAGAATATAATTTTTTCACTAAATCTTTTATATTCAATTTAAAAATATTGAAAACAAATACATTTACTGAAACTTGAGAGTATCAGGAGGGCCATAGAGGGACTCATGAAATGTGCTGCTTCTTATAAACATCATCGGTTTTATTGATGGTGTTAGAAAGCGGAGCTGAGAAGGACTTAATGGATTTTTATTAACAGGCCTGTCTTGGTGTTGTAACTTTTTATGTATTGGAAAATGGGATCATTATTCTTTACAATATTAAACAGCACATATTCATTGCACGTGTGTCAAATGACCACTATATGCCAGGGGTTTGCACCAAGATAAAATAACTGTGTAATAGGTAATTTAACATGTAAGGACATTTTAATATAAGCATTTAAAAAACTTACTTTGCATGCAGAAATATAATGTGCTCTTCTAGTTAAAAGGCTCAGCGCCTTTATATACTTATTGAATTAAACTGTCTGAGTGAGAGGGGGACAAATCTGTATGCATTTTACCCAAAGAGCTCACATATCTACAGTCATAAGTTTCCCAAGAAACCAAACAGCTCTATTGCCTTAAAATAAATGAAAAGAATAAGAACAATAAGCTCTTAAATAATCCTAAGAATGATCCATTGTGAGGAAAATGATTATGTCAACCTAATTGTGCACTGTAAATACTAGTTAATATGATTACTTTGGGAATTGTGTAAAATTAAAAAAAAATAATTATGAGATTTTTCAAGCATAGAGGAAAATATTAGAGGACCTAACGGAAGTGTGAACTCTCCATCCAGGTGTATTGCATTTTGAGATTTAATACATGTATGTATGAAGCATATTTATGAAATCTGCATGTGCATATATATCGCATACAAAGAAGTAGCTCATTGTAGAGAATTGAGGTCCTCTTTGTGGCTGGCACATCTGCCTCCCCTTGCTGAGGTAGGTGATTCGTCTCACAAACCATCATTCCTCATTTCCATGTAGGCGCTGATGTACAAAAAGGCAAATATTGGGATACTCCATTACACGCTGCTGCTCAACAGTCCTGTACGGAAATTGTAAACTTACTGCTAGAATTTGGAGCGGACATCAATGCCAAAAACACAGATCTTCTGCGACCTGTCGATGTGGCGACGTCTAATAGTTTGGTGGAAAGATTATTGCTTCAGCATGAAGGTAAGAAGAATCTACGAGGGCATGAAAAACATTTTGAAGGGCTTGAAATAGATGAAATTAGAAGACTTTTTGTTGGCATGTAAAATAACAATGGCATAACATTTGGAATATTTTTTGAAGGAAGATAACTTTTTAACTTGGGTTGCATCCATAAAGAAGGTATCATGAGGATTTTGATTTTCTTTGTTCTCATCTTCCCTAAATTCTGTATTCGTTCAGTTAAGTTAAATATATTATTTTTTGACAGTAAACAATATGTTGATTCTGTTTAAATATATATTTCTTAATATATATCTTGAAATATGCCCCATTTTATAAGGATATGCATCATCTACAGGGTGTTATAGAAACATAATCATGAAGTATTTTTGTTCTAAAACAGAAATTCTAAAGCCTGGTGTAGACACTAGAGTAAAATTCACTTCGGCTTAAATAGTTAACCTAATTTGAGAAAAAAAAAAAATTTTTTTAATTCCCCCTTTAGTGCATAACACTTCTTGGAGCTTTTGAGTTATATGTCCTTCATAAAGCAGGAGATTTATGTCTCCTTCAAAAAGCAAAAAGCCTTGTTTATGAGGCTTTATAAACAACAATAATTTCATAAGCCCAAAGATTAAAATATTTTAAAGAATATGCATGGATTATATCTCAATTATAATAAAGCCTTGCAAATAAAAGCAATACATATGCTTATATAAATTTCCCTAAGTTAGTGGGTTTCCCAGGTGGTGTAGTGGTAAAGTATAGGCTTACATTGCTGTGTCCGGTCCCTGGGTTGTGAAGATCCCCTGGAGGAGGAAATGGCAACCCACTCCAGTGTTCTTGCCTGGAAATTCCATGGACAGAGGAACTTGGCAAGCTACAGTCCATGGGGTCGCAAAGAGTCAGACAAAACAGCATGCACAAATACACGATGGTCATACTGCCCTAATTTATTGCAAAGCTCTGTTGGGTTTTTGTGTGGTTTGATTTCATGTGTCTTACAACCCAGAAAAATCCATTTTGATTTTAATGAACAAATACTTTCACGCTTCTTACAGCCACGCCAAGCTCTCTGTGCCAGCTCTGCAGACTCTGTATCAGAAACTACATCGGTAGACCAAGATTACACCTTATCCCACAGCTCCAGCTGCCAACGTTGTTGCAGAATTTCTTACAGTATCGATAAGGGAGTAAAATAATTCTAAACATCTGAAAATCAGAAATTTCTATTTCATCTGCATAGTGTATACTTCATATTAAAACATGCTAAAGAGATGGTAGAGATATGAGAACACCCAGGAAGAAGTGAAATAGCAATTTTAGTTAAAGTGTACTAGTGCATAGTATGTTTTATGCATTTTTACTGTTTTTGGACTATATATATGTTTACAGTATCTATGTGAACCCTTACTAAAGGTATTCATATATTTTTGAAGGTCTATATTCTTCAATTAATGTTTATGCTTTTAAGTTTTGGCCTTGGTAATTGATTATTTCTGTATTGTTGACATTAATACAAAATATGAGTATGGTTTAGAAAAGAGCAGCTCATATTTTTTTTGAAATAAACATGACTGTCATTCAGGAAACCCACTATGTTCATTGTTTACTTATCATTATGATGATCAATTCAGTAAAGAAAGGACAAATTGCCCCTTTCTTGCAGAGGTCCCAGCGATCACTTCACTGCCTTAGGTAAACCTGTCTCAAAAACTGGCAGGACTAGAATGATCACTACAGCTCTCTCACCCTGAGAAGTCTGGAACATTACACACCTGCTCAGTGCATTTGAAGACCCTTTCCTACTCATGAGTGGTCTCTCTTCTGTGCTTTTACACATATCACCCCAGCCTCCTCCATTCAGAGGCTGCCAGGAGCTGGTGAGACTTGGACCAGGAAAATGAACTTCATATCTAGTTGATAAAGAGGCCCTGGGTCACACTCGAGGAATCAGGGGGGCCCAAGGCTATAGAAAGTGGAAGATAACAAGTGCCTTAAAATGTGGGGTTTTCAAAGAAAAGGAAAAAGGGTATTACTTAGCAAATATAGAAACCTTAGGAAATGTCCGCTCTGTGGACCTTCATTGTGGTGTTTCTAATTTTTCTTGCACAAAATAAGGGTTCAGCATAGACTGTACTGTAAAGGGATGCTGTACATAAGAAGGTTTCCTCTGTGGGGGTTTATTCTCTTCTGCTTAATGTATTTGAGTGCAATATAAAAAGTAATTTAAAAAATAAAATTAAACATTTAAAAAAACCTCTCTGTGTCTACTTTGTAGTTTAAACTATTTGAATTTATAAGATAATAAGATACTTATAACACTGTGTAAAGTAGAAGAAATACTTGGATGAGTCCTATAAATTTTGATAACCTGGGGCCTTTCCTTTTTACTTAATTCTTGACTGACTGCCAGAGACCTGTGGGAAATAAACTATTATTGTATATAACCCCAAAGTTATTAAGACTACATTTTTAAAGAATCATTCTAGATTTTCAAAAGTCAAAATAAGGTTGTGGCATGTTTATTTAAAAAAAATGTTTTCTATGTGGCTAGAGACTTTTAAATTTGTCTGTTTTACAAAATATCTCAGTTTAATAAATTTGTAATATCCTCAGAATAATATACATTTAACCTTTTTTATTATAGAGTAACCCTATTTAACATAATCACATATTAAAATTGCTTTTCAGTAAAACAGTGTCTACTAGTATTTTTCCTGAGCAAGAAGTCATCTTAAGGTACAAGGCATCCCTCTTAATTGGTCTTATGTCAGTAAGAGAAGCAAATATCAAATATTAAAATAAAAATTGACACCTGGAAAGTTTTAGAGTGCTGCTACCTTGTATATTAGCTTGAGTATGATTATCATATCAAAGAACTGTTCTAATTTAAACATATCATATGTATGTTACTATATTAAAGTGTGATGTTTATTCCTGGAATAAACCAGTTTTTTTTTTCTGTTCTAATTAGTATTTGATTTTATAATGGAAGGTAATGGAGAATATGATTCAATTGTCCTAGTCTTATTTATCACTGGTTTTCAAATCACTGTATCAGGAGCAGTAAGTATAGCGTAATGCCAACTGACACCGTGAAGTTCCTCTAATCAAAATCTTTTTACATGTATGTGTAAAGGTCCAAGGACAAAATTCTACAAAGGCAAAATAAAAAAATACTACAGATAGTCCTATACCATACTTAGTATGGGGTTGCCTCCTGATCAACCCATCATAAGGTGAAAATATCATATGTTGAAAATGCATTTAATACACCTCCTCACAGAACATCAGCGCTCAGCCTGGCCCACCTTAAATGTGCTCAGATCACGTGCATTAGCCTACAGTTGGGCAAAATCATCAAACACAAAACCTAGTTTATAATAAAGCATTGACTATCCCATGCAGTTTACCGAATACTGTACTGCCAGTGAAAAGCAGGCAGTTGTCTGGGTCTAGGATGGCGACACGTGCATCAGTTGCTCGGCTCTGTGGTCAGGGGGCTGCCTGGGAGCAGCGGGTCCTGCCCAGCATCGAGAAATCTGGTGGGACAGGCGACCACTGGCCTGGGACAGAGACCCAAGTGCAACCCTCAAAGTACGATTTCTACCTAAGGCACATGCTTTTCAGGCCATCCTAAAGTCAAAAAACCAGTAGGTCGGGGACCATCTGTATTTGACACGAGATTAAAGAAATATGGTGAAATAAATGCTGGAATAAAGCACTGTGCTGAACATATTTATTTTTATAGGAAAAAGTACTGAATGTCTATTATTGTTGTAACCACAGAGTACAGATGTTCAGAAATAAGTAAATAGAAACACAGTGTGAAAGGATGGCCTCTTCTGAAAAGGTCTAAGATCATCCACTGTGTTTCCTTAGACAGCCCTGAAGCCAGGTGACTGTTTCTCCATTTACTACCAACAATTTAAACAAATGATCTACTCCCTTGGGTTATTCCTACCTTTTTACTCTAACTTCTCTCCTTTCTTATTTATAATTGCTTTAAGGTTTGCCCTCTCTCTTAAAAGCCTTAACAATCATTCTCAGTCTTTTTTGGGAGCAAATTTTGTTCAGAAAATTCAGGCCTTGTTACCTCTCCATCTGCTCTAGGGCTTCAACAAAAAAAGGGGTGCCCTTCGAGGAATATAAATGACCTAAATATATACAATGAAACATCCACTGGAATCGCTAAGTGCAGTGGATTAGGTCCGCCTGCTAGAAACAGGAGAGTTTAGTGTTTCTGAGTCCCAACACAAATGGGTCATGCCAGTGATTCACCCCTCAGACCATGAAGGTTCCCAAAGGCTCGAGGAGAGAAAGGCTGTGCTTCAGGGGGGCACAGGCCCTGGGAACAACCAGGAGAGGCTTTGCTGGATGCGGGGTGGGAGACGCAATGAGTCAGGACGTTCCCTCTCAGGACGGCTCCATCACTGGAAGACCGTTTTCCCCCCCTCAGGGCTTCCCTGATAGCTCAGTGGGTAAAGAATCTGCCTGCAAGGCAGGAGACCCAGGTTCGATTCCTGGGTCGGGAAGATCCACCTCCCCGGCTCATCCCTTGTCAAAATCATGCCTCGTCAGGGTGAGGCGTGCAGGCAGATAATCTATGAAACGTGCAGAAGGAGGAACAAAGTTTCTTCCCCAGGGGGGGAGCTGAGGCTGGGCTGGAGGACAGGGTGACGTGGTACCAGCGTCCTGCTCTAGACCAAGAAATAAAGGCGTGCAGAAAACCCTGCTTCTGATCCTCCTGCACCAGAGACAAGATGGAACTAACACCCTACACCAGGGTTTTTTTTTAAAGAGTTTGGGTTTGTTTGTTTTGTTTTTTCTTTGGCAGGGGAGAATGGTGACTCCATCTCTCCATATCATTCATTCTTGTGCCCAAGGCAGGATTCTTAGCTTGTCCCTTCTTCAAAAGGGACAAGCTAGCATTTGGGACTTGACACCATCTCTCAGACCCTGGACTTCAGGGAACCCAGGACTATTTAGAGTGAAGGCAGTTCCGTCTGGGGCCAGGATTCAGGCTTCCAATAGCTGCCCCTCTTACTGCCAATCCCCCCCCTGCCCCATTATAAGGAGGAGGGGTTCCGTCATCACTGGTCCCCTTCCCCCAGGGCGGTGACTGACCCACAGAGTATGGGGGTGGGCCTCAGCTCTGGATCTGTCCAGTCTGGACCTAGCACCGCCCAGAGGGTAAGTTAAACCCAAACACACACAGTTCTACACTTCCCAAGGACAAATATTAATTCTCAGGGACAGGACAATTCAAACACAATTCAAAGGAGGAACAGAAGCATTCTCCTAACTAGCTCATAATTTTTGAGGCCTCCCTCTCAAAGTGAAGTCAGCATTTTACATCTTTATGTTTCAAATTATTATGCAGATCCATATCCATTATGTACAGGAAGGCATAAGGCCTTAGGCACTAAATGACTTTGAAAAGAAGGACTCAATTTAATAGTCTCAGTCTGGGGGAAGGGAAGCAGTAATTTTTTACTGTTATAGTCTCCTTAAAAAAAACACAAAAAACTGAAGGTATTAAAAGGAACCTCACAAATTTCTTGAGTTGTGCATGGGAGGAATATTACACGGCAACCCAGCCACATATGCCAACTTTAGGAACATTGGGTTCGACCCTGTTCCAGGGTCCCACACTCAGGGCTTCCCATGCTTGGTTTAATGGTCATCTTGAAATGCTTAATTTTTCAACAGTGGGCCCCACAGTTTTATTCCGATTCTGTTCCGATTCTGCTGTGACACTATAAATACTCCAGTGACTAACATCCATGTGGAGACACGTTTTCATCTCTGGGTGATGTTGCAGTCCGAGCACGGATTGGAAAGGAATTTTTAGACACAGAATGTTGCAGAAAGGAGTGGGTTTAAGAACCAAAGAGCAGAGATAATGTGGGTGCTGTGAGCACAGCTGGCCGACCTCCTGGTTGGTGCTTTTCACAGGCTAGTAGCCAATTTTTATAGCCTCAAGACAGAGAATATTCCTGTTGGAAGGGTGGCATTAGGTGACTGGTTAAGGGGCCACGGTGGGCATTTTTACCTAATTTGAGGTCAGGTAGCTGGCTGGTAAGGATCAGGGGGCTTTGGTAGCAGTTACAATGGGGCTCAGTCAGTTATACGGGTGACCTTGGCTCCGGGCTCCATGTCTGAGGCCTTGGTGCAAGGCCTCGCACCTGTGACCTGGGGATAGGACTCCACAGGTAAGTCACATGGAGCTTTCTCAGGTAATTCTTGTCCCATTAAAAGAACTAGAGGGATAACCTGAGGTGTTTTTTCAAATGTCACTTCAATATGGACACAGTCCAGGTTGGAGGGCTCAGGAGGAGAATCAAGAGATCCTTCTGTATGACTCGGGAGACGGAGACTTCCCCTCCCTGTGGGCAGAAGCAGATGGGGTGCGGTGGGGGACTGGTTATGCCCAGAATAGCACAGATGGCCCTGGCTGAGCAGAACACAGTCGGTTCCCACTGTCTGCGCCGCGTTGCCTTCACAGTGGAAGAGAGGTGTGGTATAGAGAAATCAAAACTGAGACCACAGATTGAAAATCCCCCCAGACCAAATTCCCACTGTCACTTAACTAAAACCTAAGCTGTCCCAATTTTCCCAAATGCTGATTCCAACCTTAAACAAAACTTTAAGCTTTCTTCCTACCAATGAGACTTTACAGCTTCCTAGCTAGTGGGCTACAATCAAGGAAAAAGAGTGTAAGTTTCCAGTAACCAGTCACAATAGAAAACAGTGCACAGTCACCTCTTAAAGGCTCGAGGATGCAAAATCCCAGGATGCTCAAGGTCCTTATTAAAAATGGTGTGGAATTTGCTTATAATCTATGCACAACCTGCTGTATACATTAACTCATCTCTAGATTACTTATTATACCTAATACAATGCAAATGCTGTGTAAATAGTTGCTGGCAGGAGGAAAATTCAAGTCTTGCCTTTCCGAACTTTCTGGAATTGTGTTTTCTAACATTTTTCTATCTGAGCCAGGTTAAATCCACAATTATGGAAGCCATGGGTTCGAGGGCTGACTGTACTCACACAAACACACTTTATAAACTGCACTATAATTGCTGAAAGTCAGCTTCTAAGCTCCTTCTGCTGCAACTCTGACAAGTTTGCTTCTCGATCAAGAAAATACTCATATCAAGTAAGCTCTCTGAATTTTCTTTTGACATGTGAGAGGTCAACAACAGTTATTGACTTAGATAGCTGTTTGGCTTATGTGGGAAGTTGGCTGGGTCTTGGAGGATGACTGCAGGTTTCTGAACTTCATCAGGAGGTAACTTCAGTCACAGCTGCTTTTCTGTTTGAGGGCTCTTTACTGGAATAAACCACCACAGTCCCTAACAACTGTTATCCTACTATTGATCTGATACTTTCTCTCCTCTGTAACAATCTGCAAGAACCACAGAAAGTGTCTTGCTTTCTTTGAGCAGGAGCAGTAGGGCAAGTTCATCATACTGCTTTAGGTCAAATCAATTTTCTGACTCTCTGCCACAAGATCAGCAGAAGTTTTTGAGTATCTTAACATCCCCCAAGACATCTGGCTGGCCCACTTTATTCGTGATACCATGGATCTGATGAATAGGAGTAGCAGGTTCTTCAGCTGCCTTCGTGAGCTGGAGATGAGCCAGTGGTAGGGGAAGACCACACTCCAGGCATCGGTTCATCAGGGAAACAGAAGTAACTTCATGAATTCAACAATAATTTAACATCAAGAAATGGTTAAATGGATAATGAAGAGCAAAACAATTAAAATGAGACGATTAAATTAACAGAGATAGACCTCTAGTTATTGCTGTTGTTCATTGCTCAGTCATATCACGACTCTTTGGACTCCATGGACGGCAGCATGCCAGGCTTTCCTGTCCTTCACCGCCTTCCAGAGCTTGTTCAAACTCACGTCCATTGAGTCGGTGATGCCACCCAACCATCTCGTCCTCTGTTTTCGCCAGACCTCTAGTGCAAGAGGGAGGGCAAAGGGAAGGGGCAGGACTTCTGAGTGGAGAAAGAAATGGCAGCCCACTCCAGTGTTCTTGCCTGGAGAATCCCAGGGACGGAGGAGCCTGGTGGGCTGCCGTCTATGGGGTCGCACAGAGTTGGACACGACTGACGCGGCTTAGCAGCAGCAGCAGCAGCAGCAGCAGGAGTTCTGAGAGCCTTGAACTTGCAGGGAAAGCCCTACAGACTGGCTTTTTGAAGGGGCAGAGAAGACAGCGGGTGCTGATTCCTGAGGAACTTCGAGCAGGGATCTGAGTGTAGAATCTGGGGCTCAGACTTCTGAGCGCCCGCGCCTCTCAGTGATCACTGAAAGCTGTAAGAGACTACGATGAAACCTGCTCCAGGAGTGGGGGCAGAAACTGCAAACTGACCCCAGCTGCCGCTGCCTAGGGAAGCTTTGTTGCCCTGGTGACCTTCATCCAAACAGACTTTCTCCCTTCCTTTGGCCTCCAGGTCTCTCTCTCTCTCTCTAGTTCCCCCTAGTGGTAGAATTTAATACAGCTCAGCAAAGGAAACACTACATTCAGTTCAGTTGTCACTCAGTCGTCTGACTCTTTGCGACCCCATGGGCCGCAGCACTCCAGGCCTTCCTGTCCATCACCAACTCCCAGACCTTGCTCAAACCCATGTCCATTGAGTCAGTGATGCCATCCAATCATCTCATCCTCTGTCATCCCCTTCTCCTCTCGCCTTCAATCTTTCCCAGCATCAGGGTCTTTTCCAGTGAGTCAGCTCTTCACTTGAGGTGGCCAAAGTATTGGAGTTTCAGCTTCAGCATCAGTCCCTCCAATGGATATTCAGGACTGATCTCCTTTAGGATGGGCTGGTTGGATCTGCTTGCAGTCCAAGGGACTCTCTAGAGTCTTCTCCAACACCACAGTTCAAAAGCATCAAGTCTCCGGTGCTCAGTTTTTTTTTTTATAGTTCAACTCACATCCATACATGACTACTGAAAAAACCATAGCTTTGACTAGACAGACTTTTGTTGACAAAGTAATGCCTCTGCTTTTTAATATGCTGTCTAGGTTGGTCACAACTTGTTCCAAGGAGCAAGCATCTTTTAATTTCATGGCTGCCCATCTGCAGTGATTTTAGAGCCCAAGAAAATAGTCTGTCACTGTTTCCATTCTTTCCCCATTTATTTGCCATGAAGTGATGGGACTGGATGCCATGATCTTCGTTTTCTGAATGTTGAGTTTTAAGCCAGCTTTTTCACTCTCCTCTTTCACTTTCATCAAGAGGCTCTTTAGTTCCTCCTTGCTTTCTGCCTTAAGTGTGGTGTCACCTGTGTATCTGAGGTTATCATAGATGATATCATCTGCTTCTGCTCACATTAGTAACTCCATGTGAAGCCGTCCCCTTTTCTCGTCATTCCACAGATTTCCATGATCATCTCAGAAATATTTAAACGTACTGAGCCCTTATGATATGTGCACACTGATCCAGGCTCTTCACTCATTTAACTTATTGATTTAATCCAACACAGCCCTGTGAGGCATATCCTATTTATTTCCATCTTTTACAAATAAAAATAAATAACTCATCACATAATAAGTCTCATAACTAATAAAAGATAGGGCTGGTGCTCCAAAGCCTGTGTCTTAACCGATTCAAAATACTGCCTTATAATAAAGTCACATCAAAGGTCACCTCCTCTGAGAGGACTCCTACACTCCCTCAGGCCAAATTATTTGCTTCCTCCCTGATACTAATATATTTTTACCATGGTAGAGCTTTTCAGATATTTATATCTCTGTACCTTCTATAAATAAGCCACCCAATGGAACTTCCTGCAATGACAGCGTGGTGTCTATGCTGTACCAAGTGGTGGCCACTAGCCAGTCCCATGTGGCTACTGAGAAGTTGAAATGTAGTCAGTGTTACTCACTTTATTTTATTTTAATTTGTTAATATTTAAATCCGAACAGCCACATGGGGCTAGTGGCTACCATATTGAATAGTGATGATCTAGTGCACAGCAAAGAACAGAACAATAACTCCTCAAAAAGTTCACTGAATGAAATAATTATCCATGAAAAACATATTGGGCAAAGAAAAAACACACTTGGATAACCCCATTTCTGGTTTTCTTTTTCACCATATACAGACTCACACTGGTTTACTATATTAATAAACATGTACTGAATAAACATTCAGTGAAATACTATATAGCTTTACTCTCAAGTCTATCCCATATTTTATCTTGCATAATAATATGTATCTATGAACCACATTGATTTTATCTTTTACTGTAAAAGTTTTTAAAAGATGTTAATAACTCTGATGTGCAAATATTTAATTTATAATTGTGCCTGGTCTGCAATCTTTTTTTTCATCTATATCTTTCACTGATAAATCTCAAGTGACTAGCTCAGGGCCTAGTAAGGATTCACTAAATAGTTGTCCAATGAATGAATGAATCATGCACACTGGGGCATCCTTGTGAAGTGTGATGATCGAATTTACAAATTATCTTCAAATATTATGCGATTTTTATGAACACAATGTAATAATTAAGGAAATAGGTACATTAAACTATGCAGACATTAAGCATCTATTTATCTTAATTTTGAAGATTTTTTTCCATTGGCAGTTTGGAACAAAACCTCTATTGTTTCCATTTTCCAAACAAAAACAGTCTTTGTCTTCTGAAACGTCTTTAACCTCCTCAAAACGCTTGACTACAGAAACCACAACATTCAAAATGTCAGTTTCTAAGGGAAAGCCGGATGGGAGTGAGTGTTCTAAATCGGTTACTTCTTAAAGGGTAAAACGGAGATTGAAAGCTCCGCCCAAGGTTTAAGCTCCTGGAACCGAGTCCTTTCCCAGTGGGACCAGGGATGCGCGTCCACCAACCCAGGGTGGCAGGAGCCCAAGCAGGAGCACCCGTGAGGCGGGGCGTTGGCGCTGAGACCACGCCCACACTAGGCCCCGCCCCCACCGGTGCTGCCATAGAAACCCAGACGGCGCCATGGCTGCCGCCGACCCTGGAGAAGGGCTTTTGACACAGCCGGCGGCAGCCCGCTGCAAGTCACGGTCAATTTTGCCATGTCAAGCAGCTCCCAATGGAGGGAAGCCTAAGAAGTGTCTGGTCTATCCTCATCCCCCGAAGAGCTCCCGCCTGTCTCGGTCGGTTCTGCGCTGGCTCCAGGGCCTCGATCTCACCTTCTTCCCCAGGAACATCAGCAGGTGCTGAAGAGGTCCGGCCCCCGGACGCCTAGCGGGCGCTGAGGGCCCAGCAGAGCAGCCTGGAGATCCGTTCAGGGGCTCTTTCCAGGGACTGCCCCCGCCCCCGCCCACTCACCACACACACACACACACACACACACACACTCACACATACATTCATATACACACACACATACACACACTCACACATTCATATACACACACTCACATACACACACACACACACACACACTCTCTCACACACTCACACAAATACACACACACTCACACACTCCTTGCTCTCTTAGGGAGATGACCTAAAAAAACAGGATGGAGCATTTCAGTCAATCAGTCATTACTTAGACTTAAGCCAATAGAGAATACTTTGGTAACTCAAAAAAAAAAAAAAAAAAGTCCAGGCTCTTTCTTCAGGGACATTGGAGATTTATATTAGTGAGGATCAGTTTACTTTCTGTTAGATCTTGCATCTAGTTTGAGAGTTGTCAGGGACTGAAAAAAGTTGCTGTCTAACTGCAGCCTCTCTGAACACTGCTGTTGTTCAGTCGCTAACTCATGTCTGACTCTTTGCCACCCCATGGGGTGGAGCATTCCAGGCTTCCCTGTCCTCCAGCTCCTGGAGTTTGCTCAAACTCATGTCCACTGAATTGGTTATGTTATCCAATGATCTCATCCTCCTTTGTCCCCTTCTCCTCTTGCCCTTAATCTTTGCCAGCATCAAGGTCTTTTCCAATGAGTTGGCTCTTTGCATCAGATGACCAAAGAAGTGGAGCTTCGTCTTCAGCATCATTCCTTCCAAAGAGTATTCAGAGTTGATTTTCTTTAGGATAGACTGGTTTGATCTCCTTGCAGTCCAAGGGACTAACAGTCCTCTGGAGCACCACAGTTCGAAGCATCAATTGTTTTGGCGCTGAGCCTTCTTTATGGTCCAGCTCTCACAGCTGTACATGACTACTGGAAAAAACACAGCTTTGACTCTACAGACCTTTGTCACAATGAGGTCTCTGCTTTTTAACAAAGAATGCTGTCTAGGTTTGTCACAGCTTTTCTTTCAAGAAGCAAGCATCTTTTAATTTCACTTGCTCAACATAACTGGCAGTTAATATTTTTTTCTGGGAATGCAAACTAAATTCCAGAAAAATAATGACTTTGTTTGTAGGCAATGACTCTGGCTTATTAATTTCAGTTTTCCTTAAGAAAGATGCCTGAACTTTTCAGTGGATACAGGGATCACATGGGGATCTTGTTAAAATGCATGTTCAATACAAAATAATGGTTTTGGCTTCATAAAAGGAATTCCATGGGCTTTGGTGCGCCTAGTCTTACCCAAATGCTATTCCATAGCAGGCTTCCTTAAATCAGTGATCCAAGAAAGCTCCATAAGTTAGCTGCTGTCAGTATAGAATATTTAAGTGGTGTTAATTAACTATAAATACAAATTGTATAAGTAACTGCACTTTATTTCATTTCCTTATCACTATGGAACAGGGATTTTTCACTTTATTTTTTTTTCCATTTATTTTTATTAGTTGGAGGCTAATTACATCATTGCAGTGGTTTTTGTCACACACTGAAATGAATTAGCCATGGATTTACATGTATTCCCCATCCCGGTCCCCCCTCCCGCCTCCCTCTCCACCCGATCCCTCTGGGTCTTCCCAGTGCACCAGCCCCGAGCACTTGTCTCATGCACCCAACCTGGGCTGGTGATATGTTTCACCCTAGATAATATACATGTTTCGATGCTCTTCTCTTGAAACATCCCACCCTCGCCTTCTCCCAGAGTCCACAAGTCTGTTCTATACATCTGAGTCTCTTTTTCTGTTTTGCATATAGGGTTATCATTACCATCTTTCTAAATTCCATATATATGTGTTAGTATACTGTAATGGTCTTTATCTTTCTGGCTTACTTCGCTCTGTATAATGGGCTCCAGTTTCATCCATCTCATTAGAACTGATTCAAATGAATTCTTTTTAATGGCTGAGTAATATTCCATAGTGTATATGTACCACAGCTTCCTCATCCATTCGTCTGCTGATGGGCATCTAGGTTGCTTCCATGTCCTGGCTATTATAAACAGTGCTGCGATGAACATTGGGGTGCACGTGTCTCTTTCAGATCTGATTTCCTCGGTGTGTATGCCCAGAAGTGGGATTGCTGGGTCATATGGCAGTTCTATTTCCAGCTTTTTAAGAAATCTCCACACTGTTTTCCATAGTGGCTGTACTAATCTGCATTCCCACCAACAGTGTAAGAGGGTTCCCTTTTCTCCACACCCTCTCCAGCATTTATTGCTTGTAGACTTTTGGATAGCAGCCATCCTGACTGGCGTATAATGGTACCTCATTGTGGTTTTGATTTGCATTTCTCTGATAATGAGTGATGTTGAGCATCTTTTCATGTGTTTGTTAGCCATCTGTATGTCTTCCTTGGAGAAATGTCTGTTTAGTTCTTTGGCCCATTTTTTGATTGGGTCATTTATTTTTCTGGAGTTGAGCTGGAGGAGTTGCTTGTATATTTTTGAGATTAATCCTTTGTCTGTTGCTTCGGCTGCTATTATTTTCTCCCAATCTGAGGGCTGTCTTTTCACCTTGCTTATAGTTTCCTTTGTTGTGCAAAAGCTTTTAAGTTTCATTAGGTCCCATTTGTTTATTTTTGCTTTTATTTCTAAAATTCTGGGATGTGGGTCATAGAGGATCCTGCTGTGATTTATGTCGGAGAGTGTTTTGCCTATGTTCTCCTCTAGGAGGTTTATAGTTTCTGGTCTTACATTTAGATCTTTAATCCATTTTGAGTTTATTTTTGTGTATGGTGTTAGAAAGTGTTCTAGTTTCATTCTTTTACAGGTGGTTGACCAGTTTTCCCAGCACCACTTGTTAAAGAGGTTGTCTTTTTTCCATTGTATATCCTTGCCTCCTTTGTCGAAGATTAAGGTGACCATAGGTTAGTGGATTTATCTCTGGGCTTTCTATTCGGAACAGGGATTTTTCAAATGGCTTCCTGATAGCAGAAATATTCACTACATATTACCCCTGGGACCTTAAATTGTCATCCTTTGAAAATGGAACTTCTTTAAAAGTCAAGTTGGATAACTGGGCACAGTTGGAAAAGGTAAATTCACAATCACTGACACTTTTAACTGTTAAGAAGTTTGTTTGAAGAGGTGTATTCCTGAGATCTTGGATTTCTCTGTATATGCGTGTGTGGCCATGTGCTGGGTTAGCAGCTTGTTTCCTTGTATTGAAAAGAAGGTTACTAAGGTTTATGTCAAGAGTCACCTATAAAACTTGGCATACTCATTTCAAATTGGGAGTGGGATATAATAGTTGATTTTCTTGCTAAGTAATAATATCTTTTAATAATTATCACATTAAACCTCAAACTATTAGTTGAGGATTAAAGGGAGACTAAAGTGAATTCACAGTAATTGGAGACTTTTTTAGAACTTCTTATGATGAAAGTATTCTCTTTCCACTATTAAAGTTCCTGGCAAGAAAAAAACTTAAATTACCTAAAGAACTAATCCATGGAACAATTCACTGTAAAGCTGGAGTACCTGAAATACTGATACAGGAGGTGTACACCTTGTTAACACATCGAGAGTGAGTTATCTGGAATTTTCTAGTAATATAATTTAATATTAAACTTTTGATAATATAAATCTTATTACCAAAATGGCATTTGTCAACAATATTTTATTTTATTTTTCCAGGATTAAAAGTATCCAGGATGACCTCGTGAATTTCACAGACTACAGTTACCAGATGCAGTTGCCCCTGGTCCCTAGGTCGACAGCTTCAAAGTCTATTAAAGATAACATTAGGCTATCAGAACTAATAGGCAATCCCAACAAACTTAACAATGAACTTAAAGTAGAGTTCCTCTTCCTTTTACAAATGTTGCAAAGGAAATTGAGCAGAAAACTGAACCCAAGTAAGTTTTCCTTGGAAGTAGTCAACTGGGTTTTTCCAAGCTTAACAAGGCTCTACTTGAGCACAAGTGAAAGAAAAGCCTGCCACTGTCCCCGATTCATGGATTGTTGTAATTTCATCTGCTGCGACTTTTATTAATTCAGTCATATATGCATTCATATCTATCATATCATTTTGTGCTTTTAATATTTTCTATTCCTGTTTTTTGTCTTACCTATTTTTTTTCCTTCTTTAGGACTGAACTTTTTTTCCAAAGACCCCGCTACTAATTTGGAAAATTACAAATTTATACTCTTTCTAGTGCTACCATAGAAATTTTAACATGCATATGTATCTTAGTCTAAGTGTAATATATTTATTCTCGTCCTCAAACTGTAAGGACCTTAGAACACTACCCACTCCCTGCCAGCCCCCTGTCCCACTTAAGTTCTCTTTTTTAAAAAGTTGATGCTATTTCTCCCTTTTATTTTTATTTATTTATTTATTTTAGGCCACACTGCACAGACATGCAAGATCTTAATTCCTCCACCAGGGGTTGAATCCGTGCTCCCTGTAATAGAAGGGCAGATTCTTAACCACTGGACTACCAGGGAAGTCCCCCTACTTAAGTTCTTTTGTTGTTCAGCATTTTAGTTTTGTCAAGTTATTTTTTTAACACCACAAAATCAAGCACCATTTTTTGTCCCTAATGTTTGCTTACATTTAATCTGTCTTACTATTACTTCTACTTATTGGTTCTGGTAGAAATTTCTGAAACAAAACACATCCATTCCATTTAATCTTCAATTTAAAAGTCCATTTTAGTGCAAAGCTGCATCCCTGTTTGCTTTGGAACACAATTTCTCTTTAGCCATGGACACCTCAACCCTTCAGATTATTGAACAGAATTCTTTTATCATCAGTGTTGATTTTTGAGACTGCTGATTTTAAGCAGCCAAAGTGATTGTAACAGTTCTGTGCAATATGACTGTCCAGAGTGGTATTTAGCGCACACGGGGCACAGCTGATGAGTAGAAATGACCTCAGACATATCTTCTAGCCTCCGTGAGGGTGAGCTCAGAGGAGTAAGTGGTCTTTAGAAGCACAGTGAAACTGATGCCCAAGTGCCGCAGTTGATAGAATTAGTAAGAAACACAGAAACATGGAAAATAATTTTGTCACCATTTTTACAGTATAAAAATAATTGCAAGATGAAAGATACTGTATGATTTTATCTATATGAAATATAAAAACATGTAAAGCTAACCTATGATGATAGATGTCAAGACAGTTTTCTTTTTAGAGTTCTGAAGCTTCCCTGGTGGCTCAATGGTAAAGAATCCGCCTGCCAACAAGGGTTCGATCCCTGGGTCAGGAAGATCCTCTGGAGAAGTAAATGGCCACCCACTCCAGTATTCTTGCCTAAGAAATCCCATGGATGGAGGAGCCTGGCAGGTTATAGTCCATGGGGTCACAAAGGGTCAGACATAACTTAGTGACTAAACAACAACAGAGAGACATGAGGGGGTTTGGGGGTGCTGGTACTATACTGTTTCTATACTGTTTCTGTACTAAGGTGATGGCAACCCAGCTATGTATCCACTCCAAAAATTCATCAAGCTGTAACAATACGATTTGTTCATTTTTCTGTACATATATTATTATTGAATAAAAGCTTATCAAAAGACTAATAGGAAGACAGGGATACTGTCTTTAAAGTAACTTTTTTGAAGCAACTATTCTGTGCATCAGAGATGTGAACCATGGTGGAGAGGGCTATTAACCTATGTATTCACACCACTCTCAGGAATATGATACAAAAGTGAAAGTGAAGTCACTCAGTCATGTCTGACTCTCTGTGACCCCATGGACTGTAGCCTGCCAGGTTCCTCCGTCCATGGGATTCTCCAGGCAAGAACACTGGGGTGGGTGGCCATTTCCTTCTCCAGGGGATCTTCCTGACCCAGGGATCGAAACTGGGTCTCCCGTATTGCAGGCAGACTCTTTACCGTTTGAGCTACCAGGGAATACCTGATGTCTAAATAATCTGCGTAAATGAAAATTGTAGTGTTGTATTTTGACAATGAATTTTTAAGAAAAAATGTTTTGTTTGTATTTTATAGAATGGTTTGCAGTCAAACCAACAGTGGGAGAATCTACTCTCGATCGCCGTCCTGCCAAAGCCTCTGGGAACAAAAGCAATTTGGTCATGTCAAAGGAAAGAGCCACTCCTGTGTCTTGTAAGTTTTTTGGAAGGTTGTTTTTTTTTTTTTAACCTGTTAAAATTTATGTTTTATTTTGTTTATTTAAATTTTTTAAAATAGTAGAAATATTGGTCTAGGCATTCAGTCTAGAACTGCGCAGGAGGTTGATGTGCTGTGTTTTTCTGTAGGTGGTGCAAGCATGAGCACGTCGAGGGCTAAGAACCAGTCAAAACAGGGGAAACCCCCAAGCCAGGGTGCCCCCCCAACCTTCTTCCATACGACCCATCCCAGTCCTGATTTCTACTTTAAAAAGTGAGTCTGAAACAGGGGAAGCGCAGTGGCAGAGCTCAAAACTTAGTTCTCTAGCAGCTGGATAATGAATCAATCCTAAGGGAGACGCAGACAACCTGCACACCTAGACTTTCCAATCACTTGTTTTACAAAAAGCCACAAGTTTAAATCCTGTGAATTCAGAAAGCACTGTAAACCACAGCAAACTGTAGCCAAACCACGGGCTAATGTCAGTCTCTGCCTGACAATTTTGTATAGCTTGCAAATGAAGAATGGCTTTGACATCTTCAAATGGTTGGACACATATCAAAAGAAAAACGGTATCTCCTGACACATGAAAATGCGATGGAATTCCAGTTTCCATGTTGATAAGGAAAGCTGTGCTGGGACACAGCCATGCCTGTGCCTTTGTGCCTTGTCTGTAGCTGCTTCTCATCTAGAGCAGCAGGCCTGGTACTGGCCACAGAGACTGATTCACAACGTAGGATCCCAGACTTAGCAAATAAAAAGATGAGGGCAATACAACCAATACTCTTTAAGACATGTTGAGGACATACTTTTGCTAAAAAAAATATTCACTATGTATCAGAAATTCAAATTTAACAGAGTGTCCCATTTTTATCTGAAAACCCTACTCAAAGCTTGAAATATAATATTTATTGTCATGCCCTTGATGGAAACTATCCGTGGACTCTTTACAGAGCAGGCTGCCTAAAGTGTGAAGAGGGATTTCTTGGGCAAGATAGGGTGGAAGTTCTTTACTTATTAGCTCTGGGAAAGCAGTGTCAACTGATTTTTTTTTTTCTTTTTTAAAATGACTTCTCAGAACCTTTCATATGCTAATATGCATTATGAATATAAAAAGGGAAAAGTATATAGAATGAAGTGTTTTTCAAACTCTGTCTGATCACATGGGGCTTCCCTGGTGGCTCAGCACTAAAGAATCTGCCTGCAATGCAGGAGACATGGGTTCCATCCCTGAGTCCGCAAGATCCCCTGGAGAAGGAAATGGCAACCCACTCCAGCATTCTTGCTGGGAGAATCCCATGGACAGAGGAGCCTGGTGGGCTACAGTCTGTGGGGTCACAAAGGAGTTGGACATGACTTAGCAACTTAAAAACAACAATTTGATCACGCATCACTTAGTTTTGTTTTGCTATGGCTTGATAGCTCAGTCGGTAAAGAATCTGCCTGCAGTGCAGGAGACCTGGGTTTGATCCCTGGGTGGGGAAGATCCGCTGGAGAAGGAAATGGCACCCTATTCCAGTATCCTTGCCTGGAAAATCTCATGGACAGAGGAGCCTGGTGGGCTGCGGTCCATGGGGTCACAAAGAGTTGGGCATGACTGAGCAACTTCACTTTCACTTTCATGCACTGGAGAAGGAAATGGCAACCCACTCCAGTGTTCTTGCCTGGAGAATCCCAGGGACAGAGGAGCCTGGTGGGCTGCTGTCCATGGGGTCGCACAGAGTCGGACACGACTGAAGTGACTTACCGGCAGCAGCCACAGAGCAACTAACAGTTATGACTTGGTAGAACAACTGTTGCCCAGAGGACACTTTTTGACATTGAGACCTTAGGCCAGCCAGTGCCTCAAAATACATCACCATGGAATCTAACAGAAGTGAATTCCAATGCTTCTATGAGGGAAAGAAGAGCAGTTCATAGTTTCACCTTTAGGTTCTGAGAACACGTCCTCCCCTTCAGCCGGCCTCAGTCTCCTTCCATCAGGGATGTTTGCAGCAAACGCTCCAGCAGGGTGGGCGCTGGAACCCCGCGGGCTGGCGTGGGGAGGGCTGTGGTGGGCAGGGAGGAGGCTGCAGTGGGTTCTCTCTTCACCTGCCTGCCTCCGTCCCTGTAATGGGGCTCAAAGGACCTGACTGGCGATGAAAGCAGCGGTGGGAGTGAGCCAAAGCAAGGCTTTCTGCCTGTATAACAAACAGATGTCAGGTGCCACGCTTTAAAAACAAACAAACAAACGAAAGTTGCCTACTGATAGCTGAGTTGCTAAAGAGTATTCTTCATTTCTGTTGTCTTTTCAGGAAACTTTCAAGACTTACAGGTGAGTTTTTCTTAAAACTGAATGCTATTGTTACTTCAGATCGGGACTCCTAGTAGCGTGGCCTCTTGCTGTTCCGTGTTTAATAAGGACGAACTGCTGTAAATAACTCGTCCCCCATCTTGCGCTCTCGGTCCTGATTCCCTCATTTCCGCGGCCTTGTCTTCTCCTTTTCAAAATGGCCGACGGGCGCCCTCACGGGGCCGGGCAGAGCAGGGTGCCAAGACACGAGCTTTTATCTTTTCCCTTCTCTCCAGCCTACTGTAGATCGTTGGACTCTCTCAACCGATGCACAACAGGAATTAATAAATGGTGTGGATCTGACTTTGGTAATTATATGGATGAGAGCTCCTTTTCCTGGGCTTTACATCATTTACCCCCACATCTGTGAGTTGGGTGTCGTTTCAGTCATTTCTGATAAGAGCAGAGTGGTTACCTTGGGTAAGCTAACAGAACTTGAAAGTTAACAGGAGAGGCAACAACCCTCGACGAAGGAATTTGACCCTATTTTACCACCTAAGATCGCACTTGGCACTGATTGGTACTGAAATCACAAGCTGTTCATCTGAAAAGTTTCTCTTAATATATTGATGGGGGTGGTAAAAATTAGTTATAAGAAAGGTTACTTTTTTTTTTTTTTAACACTTAAGTCCTTTTGTTTACCTAAATCTAGCATCAACCACAACAATGGGCCAAGAAAATGCAGGTCTCTCAGTTATCTCTGGCCCATCCTATTTGAACCAAATCAGCTGAAGAGTCTGAGTGGCCAGCTTGGATGCCTCAGTACAGAATTCTAGAAACCTAATTCTGAACTTCTGTGTTTGCAAATCTAAGCACTATTAAAATCACTGTTGCCTCACCTGCTTTCTGAAGCAACACTTAAAAATAGCAGTCATATTCAGTATCAGATGCACCCAATAAGCCCTGGGTATTTTTAGGCTCTGCAGATGACTTCTAGAGGCACTGGTATTCCGGTTTTGTATTTCCAACTACTATAATGCATGCTGTAAATGTTCTGTTTAGTTGAGATTTTAGACTAACTTGTGCCCAGTCTCTTGCTAATTATTCTGTGTATGGTTGGTGCATTAGAAACATTGATGGTTGTGTACATATTTAATAACCACAGTGGATCTTAATTTTATTTAAATATCCCACCAAATACAGGTAATAGTGTCAATCCACCTAAAGAAACTGACGTGAAGCAAACCGGAAAACATTCTTTTGACGGTATGAAGCCTCCCAGAAATGTGGAAAAGGAACCCGAAGAAGCACCTGTCTAATGGCTTTGAAGAAGTGATGTTACCACCTCTTGCCACCCTAATAGGATACAATCATCTACACTTGGATATATTTCAATATTAAAGTGTGTCTTATCCATAGTTGGGCTGAAGAACATATTTTTTAAAAATTCAATTCAACAACCATTTATTCAACACCTGTGCCTGCCTGGTACTGTTGAAAACACAAAACCGGTTTATTAGTATGCATGTTTATGCTTAGTTCCTCAGTCATGTCTGACTCTTTGCAACCCCACGGACCGTAGCCTGCCAGGCTCCTCTGTCCACAGGATTCTCCAGGCAAGAATACTGGAGTGGGTTGCCATTTCCTTCTCCAGGGAATCTTCCCGATCCAGAAATTAAACCTGCATCTCCTGCGCTCCTGCAATGGCAGGAAGAGTCTTTACCAAGAAGCCACCTGGGAAGCCCCTTCATTAGTCCAGAATGAGCAAAAATAAGTTTAAAGGTGCGGTTAAATATAATTCACCCTGATGAGTAAGAATTCTCTCATAACTTTTGTAGGTAATGTGAATCTACTTTGTAATATGTTTTCCTCACTAGCAAAGAGTTACACTACTAGTTTGCCTAATATCATTTATTTACATGTCATGATCAATAAAATTTTTCCGAATATTACTGTTACACATTAGTCTGTTGAAAATCTTGCCCACCTCTAGAAATAGCTTAACTTAAGCGATTTTTTAAAAATATGTATCTTTCCTGTTGATACTGGAAGGAAAATCATGCTTCACTTGGAACCTCATTCTGGTGTTTAGCAAACCATTTAGTTTGATTGAAAATCCTTCATGCTTGCTTCCAAGCCCCATATTTTTATCAAAGGGAAACAAAAGCAGTTCGATATTCTAATTATACTTCCTATATTCTTGGTAATCTTAAATTCATTATTTGGAAAATTTTCATTAAGTGGAATTATTCATGTTTTTATGCTATCTCATTAACAGTGTCATTTGACTTCCAAGATGAGTATTACTAAGGCTGAATCTCATGATATGTTTGTCAATTTCCAACAAAACTCTATTCGTTTTTCTGCATTTTTGAAGGCTTAGACAGTTTCATGAGAATTTCAACATCCAGAGACTTTCTTGGTTAACTTTATCTTTCTGAACAGATAATATTTAGTAAAAGAAATTTAAAGAGAGTCCTGATAAAATAGATGACTTCTTGGGAATGAGTTTAGAAAATATTGAGAATAATCTTTTAAACCATAAAATGTAGTCCCTTAGGAAAGACTTTTTAGAAACAAGTCTCCTGAAACTCAGCTGGAGAAACATGCAAAGAATTAGATGTGGGTAAACAGTAAGTTTCTTCTCTTGATTCTGTGTTCAATCTCCTGCAGAAGTATTCATAGTCTAACTTCCAATAAATCATGTTTATTATAGTTAATATAAAATGACTAGAGATTGTGAAATTATCAAAATTAGTATTTATCTTTTAAAAGAGTCAATTATCAAGTAACTTTTCACATATATTTCCCTTCATTTGTTTTTTACCCCTCAATTTTTTTCATGCTTATATAACTCATTCCTTTTGTAATTGGACATTTAAGTTTCAGGTACAAAACCTGGGAATGTTTTCTTTTTAAAAAAATAAAACTCAAAAGTATTTTGACTGCATACCCATTTATTGATGTATATTAAATTTATAACTGAAAACTTTGATTAAATATGAACTAAAACTAGTGGTTTACCATGCATTTTGTAAAGGACAATATCGGTGCTAGTTAACTTGAAGATCAGCTGTATGTACCTTACATTTCAAGACTTGGGAGATATTCAGTCATTCAAATATTCATTAGGTATCTACTGTACGTCAAGCACTATTTATAGGTGTTGCACTATTTTATACCTTTCAGTGTTTTAACACTAGAATAGTTCGTACCTTTTATGCTCCGGGAAAAGTCTCTATGCTCTTTTATATTCGTCAGTCCCTTATAATTTGAATATTACCTTCCTCCCAAATATGGCTATTATATTTTATAAAGGAGACAGACACCTATTTTTCCTTGAAATTATATAAATATTTTATTTGTTGAAATTAATGATTAAAATCAACTGTGAGCCCTCCACGCCCCTCTCCTCCTCCAGACCTCTGGCTTTTAGATAACAGAGGTTAAGGTAACAGTAACTCACGAAAGGTCTTAAAAAAAACAAGCATGGAGAAAAACCTTCCATCAAAATGGGTTGAGTCGTATTCCAGTCCCTAGAGGTGAGAATGGGTTCACCTTTGCCCACATGAGAGCGTCATTCAAGGAGATGGTGGATTTCCCATCTTCAAGGAAAAATACAGGACCCTGCACAGTGGGAGTTACAGGAAGAGAGGATGAGACTATGAATTTGCAGTATGTTTTTAAACTTCCAGACACAGAATCACTGTCATCAAAAAATTACTGGTGATATTTAGGCAATGCTGATAGGAAATTTAAAAATAGGAGAAATAACTAGATTTTTTGAATTGCTACCAAATAGAGAAACATTTTTAAATGCCCTGATGTCTTTCAAAATGTAATTTGGCTTTATCATCTGAATTCTTTAATTACAACAGTGCTGTCAATGACAATAGATACTGTTAATCTATTAATTACTACAAAGTTAACATTTATAAAGGCATACATGCCTAATAATAGACTTTAATATACTTCACCCTTTTCATCATAACAGCCTACATTAATACAGCTGGGTAAATTATTTAAACCAGAAACTCAACTTGCTCTCCAGAAGATGAAAAATACACTGCTATATACGTGTATATATAATATAGAGTCATGTCAATTCTGTGATTTATAAGCCTATCTATAATTTAGTTACATCAGCTATTTTGTATATCAAGGGTAGTTCTGAAGAACTAAATCCAAAAAAACCTTTCAATCTGTACCTCCTCCCGGCTCCTAGAAGAAAAAGCATGATTTCAGAAACACAAAAGTGCAATAAAAACTTAATTTCTTCATTATGTTCTAAAGTTATCAGGCTTTGGACCCTGATTTCAAATGATTAGGGGCTTCCCTGGCAGCTCAGATGGTAAAGAAGCTGCCTGCAATGAGGTAGACCTGTGTTCGACCCCTTGGTTGGGAAGTCTGGAAAACGGGAATGGCAACCCACGCCAGTATTCTTTGCCTGGTGAATTCCATGGACAGATGAGCCTGGTAGGCTATAGTCTATGGGGTTGCAAAGAGTCAGACATGACTGAGCCACAAACACTTCAAATCATAAGACCTTGTTGTTAGCAAATTATTTTCAGATATTCAAGAATCCATTTATATGCAGTAGACAGTTTCCTATTCACAGAGTACTTGCAATTTCAGATTTAACCAAGACACATTAATTTTCTGCAGGAACAGAAATATCCCAGGAGGGTAGAACTCCCCCTGAATCAGTCATTTGTGCCTGAGTGTATGTCAGATAATTAGTAGATCCTTGCTTAAGGTGGGTCTGGGTGCAGAAAGGTTAGACAGCCTGGGGAGTAGATTGTCTCAGAAGGAGAAAAAGCCCTGAAGAGGAGGAAGAAATAGGAAGTCTGTCAAGCACTAGAAAGTGGTACATGCAGGGCAGTTAGTGGCACTGAGGATACAGTCGAGAAGCTGCAAAATGGGTTTTGCTATTAATTATAAATTACTGAATTTACTGCTTCTGTTCTTAATCTCTGAACATAAGTGGATAGTAAGCACATATCCTACTTGGCGTCCTGTCTGTGGTTTGGAATATACTGGCGTGTTCTGAAGACTTAATTTTCAGTGTCAAGTCAAGCTGCAGTTAGACTTTTCATTGGTAGCAAAACATCTTGACTAGTTATCCCCCCCAAATACCTTTCTCCACTGATGTGGCACATTAGTGTTAGAGATGTAATTAGCTACGTTACATTAGAAATACAAGAATCCACTTGGTGACACGTGATGATACCTGGGAGATGGCATTCTTTTGGTCCCATTTGGTCTCCAGTAGCACTTCATGGGGATTCAGCTTTGTTTACTTCTTGGGGACACCTACAACTGCTCCTGGCTCTGAATGATGAAAGCTTCTCTATTTTCTGGCAATGAAGGCACCCCTGGGCCACACGGGCAGGCCTGGCATTATTCAGCATTGTTACTTTGATTGCACACGAGGGGCCATTTCTTGGGAATTAGTCATCCCTCATGATAGAGCCCCGTAATTTTTAATCACCGAGAAGTTCACTAAGTCAATGTAAGAATATGCATAATATGTAGATTTATTATACATCTATCAGTTTTTAATTGCTTTGTGTTTAGAAAATACCAATGGAGACTATAAAGTTACATTTAATCTACTGAGAGAACAATGGGTAACTGTGTTGACTGTTGCTGTGTCTCCCTTATTTAATTTCCCTAAGGAAATGATCTGTCTTTTAAAACATTTGTTACTAAGTATATCTTATTATATGAATTGTTTTTATAATAAAAAGTATAATGACTATGTCTGGATTTATTTTAAGGAGAGAGAAACTACTTATATCAAATACAAAAGCTTATTAAGGGCAGTATTTTCTCACTGGGCCTCAGGTTTCTTTAAACTTTTATTCAGATTATTTTCTCATTTCAAAAAGTAATGAAAAAACAAAAATGATGGGCATGCATAATTTACGCTTGACATTAAGCTGTACCTGGATTTTCAATCCCGTAAGACAAGAGATGTGAATGTCGGAATGACTGGGAAGATTCGACCCAGTCACATAATCTGGTCCAACAATTCCTCTGAGTGGTTCTTCCTTTAGTCTCTTCAGTAAAGTTGCATAAACCAGTCTTTGTGAATCAGAAGGGGGTGTATATGGAGAGTCTTCTGATGATCTATATTTCCAACAGATATTCCATTTTTATTTTTGTAGAATCACAGGATTGTCAAGGCTCAGACTAAAAACAGTCCCCAATGATAATTTAGTCCTTTGTAAGTGATGGCAAATTAACTTTAGAGTTAATTTATAGTAAAAGGAAGGACTTGAAAAAGGCAGGAGTTATAAATTATTACTGAGTGTGTGCTAAACAACCCAAGATTCATTCTCCTGCCAAAATAATGAGACAACAATTTACAAGTCTGTCTACAATATTAAGCAACACATTGTGTATTCTATTTTTATATCAGAGTTTATATGCACTCACGGGTTGACAATCTGTGTGCAAGCTCTCCATGCGTCCAGTTCCTCAGAAAGGTGTTCCATTTTTAAAGGCACTGACACCCTCCGCCGTTTTAACAGCTGACTGAAACATGCCAGAAGGAAATTAACATCTGACATCCACGATGAAGACAGCAAGAAAGCAAACGAATTTTAAACAACTGCAATTTTAGATATAACCACTGTTGTTCACGTATCTATGTGTATATGTAAATATACGTGTGCACGTGCGCGTGTGTGGGTTTGTGTGTGTAACTCTCTAGCAAGTCAAACATATTCAATAAATGCTGGATGACAGGATGAGCAATGCTGAGTAACACTCAGAGAAATTCCCTTATATCTTAATATTGTTGAAAGTTGCTTTCCATTTGTGGCTACGCTGCTGGCATAGATTTTTCCTGGAGTGCCCTGACATCAGAGGTTCTTCCGAGAGCTCCAGGCGCAGGCCCACAGTCACACAGCCCTCCACCTCGACGAGAGGGGCAATCGGGAAGGAGAGAGCTCTGCTTCTCTCAGAACCCCGTGCCCACAGGAAGGAAACTCAGAGAAACTGCTTCACCACGGACTCTCCGCACCTTTAGGAGTCACCTGCTCTGGAGATGGTGTGTTTTGTGGGGAAGGCACTGAGTTTTATTTTTGAGTAAAAGTTTTATGCATGATGGTTGAGTTCAGTAAGCTGTCCTGAAAACACAGGAGTTTGGCAGGTAGGTTATATCTGAATATAAAATATGAAATAGGGAGTACCTGCCACTGACCAACCTCTTTACTTTGCATTTTTCTACTGTGGAGATGGGCAAGCTGAAATACAGTTTCTCATCTTCTTTTAAAAGTGGATTACACAGTCCTGGCCAGTGGGCTACAGGCGCACAGCACGAAGGAGACTTTCCTTCCAGAATCAGAAGCTCCTGCCCTCTGCGGTCTCCATGTGGTCACCCTCACCTCCCCTTCCCACTTCAAGTGCGGGCACGATACACAGAGGGCAAGAAGCTAGCTGGTAACTCTGGGTCACTGAGGCAGGAGGAAGGAAGCCAAGGATGTCAGAGTTGAAAGAGAGGAAGAATCCAGAGCCTTGATGGAATCTGCCCAGATGATAAGGAATCTGCCTGCAATGCAGGAGGACCCAGGTTTGATCCCTGGGTGAGGAAGGTCCCCTGGAGAAGGCAATGGCAACCCGCTCCAGTACTCTTGCCTGGAGAATCCTATGGGCAGAGGAGCCTGGCGGGATACAGTCCATGGGGTCGCAAAGAGCTGGACATGACTGAGTGACTAATACTTTCACTTTCACTTTTTTTGCATCACTTTACTGCTGGTTTATTATGAAGCATATGCTTAGTAAATAAACAGATATGTGCAAAATGTATTTGCTGCCTCTACAATGCATTTAAGACGCTAACCATCTCACTAAAAGGCACTTACTTCTCTAATGTCTTATTTGGAGAGAAACAGCTTTTACCTCGTGTACTCATACAGTGCTGGAACGATGCTTTGATATTGCCTTCTGATAGCCAGTAATGCGCCAACGTACCCACATAATATCAGCAACTCATTTCGAGCTCTAAAAGAGAATGTATTTATTTTTAAAAATTCTATAATCTGAGGTACAGAACATTGCTCTTATATAGTTATTTAACTTGTGTCTCATTTTGATGAGTAACATTTATAGCAAAATATGCTTAGAAAATTTTCTAAATGTAAAGATGTTTTTATTCATCAGTTAGCTCCTATTCAGACATGTACAGAACAACACAAATTGTATTTTAAAATACAAGTCTTTAAATAATATTGGACTCTTGCCTTCTTGTTTTTCTCTCTCCCGTCTGCTCCTGCGACTCCTGCCAGAGTCACGGGCAGCTGCACCAGTTTTCCCGTGTGGGATCGCAACAAAAACAGCCTAAAGCCTTTATAAGAAAAGTACACGGTTCTCGGGCCTTCAGCTACATGGGTAATAATGTCCTTAAATGATACCTGAATTCGAGGATGGTGTCTATTCTTTTACTTTCTAGCACTTTCGCATCTTTGCCCATCCTAGTCTGCTTTGTATACACGGGTTTTTAAGAGCTATGACCACTACAGAGACCACTGGGGACATGTGGTCCAAAATGACCCCAAAGCTCTGATGTAGCCCTGTTTGAATGAGGTGTAGACACACCTTTGTGTACAGACACACACACACACACGGTATTGGGAAATGGGGCCAGTAAGATTTATCTTAGGTTTCAAAGTGACCTCTCTATTTTTACTTAAGGATAAAACAAAATGCAATTTTTCTACATGTGCACCTATCAGTCCAAGAGATCTTATTCCTTCATCTGAACACCAAAAACAATACAGCCATTTTGAAACATTGCATAAGTTTGGTTACACATTTTGGGGAAAAAGTACTCACTCAGTACATGTATGCAAGACCAATTTTTCAGTACGAATATAACTCAACAGGTCAAGAACAGGGTAAATGGTGTCCAAAGTCCAATCTGAACTACTGATGTGTTCTGGCAAAATAAAACCAGAGTCTCTAAATAAAAGGATTAAAACTTGTTCACTCAAATTTTAACTTGTGTGATTGATTCTCTTCCGGTCAATGCTAACTATCTCTTTTATTTTCTAGATCCCAGTCTGGTCCCGATACCAAACCACCAACAATTTCTTTCTTTATTAAATTCAGGATGGCTAGTACTTTTTTTTTAAGCCTTTAAAAAAATCAATACAAATGAAAATACCAAATAAAATAGCAGATTTTAAATTATACTACCAACTAAATACATACCTTTGATGAAGTCAATACCAACAGGAAGGGCTTTTTCAGGTTCTTGACTTAGCAAGTAATACTTTATAGTTTCAAATATTCTGCCATCGGCATGGGCTGTCTCAGCTAACTGCATACATTCTTCTACTGTGGGCAGCTTGCACTAGAAAAGAATTGGTTTGATGACAATGCTACTAATATTTATAGGAATAAAAGCAATAGTATTAATATAAGTGCTAAGTATTTCCAATATACCTGGTATGTTTTGCTAATTAAAGTTGCTGAAGATGGATGCAAATGAAATAATCTGTCCTGGGAGCATACATTTATGTTAATATCGTTAAGATCTAATAACAAAAAGTATGGTATTATCTAATGAGTCAATACTTTTAAACACACAAACACCCAATAAAAAAGGTGGAAGAAAATTGTCCTGATTGTGATAATGGGATTAGTACCCACAAATGTCATTTAGCAGGAGTACTGAAATTAGTTATTTTAGAACAAATATACTCACCAGTGTCAAAAATTATATTAAATGTAGAAAACACAAAAGGTAATGCTTATGTGTTCTCTACACGGTAACTAACTTTCACTTGACCTTGAGACACAGCAACTTTATTTTGAGCAGGAAGGCAAAAAAACAAGCTCTTTATAGCTCTTTTTTTTTTTTTTTTTAGCTTTGACATTCTGAAATGCCACGAAGTGGAGATTTGAGCCTATAAAATTATATTACTGTAAAATGAAAAGCAACGGTTTTTCAAATAATCTTTTCAAATAATTTTTCTGTTAAAACTGAGAATCTACTCCTCCTTCATGGAAGTTCTACTTCCAAAACCTGGGTGGGGATTAATTTACCATTTATGTAAACTTCTGATATGTTCACGATTTTTGAAGCACAGGTTTAAGAGTGTGTTGGTTTGTTTCTAAGCGAGGCTACATAGCTTACTGCCCTGTCTCTCTAATCTTTGCAAACACTGTGATGCAGCTTCTGCTGCAGAAACATTTGTGTGATGATGGAAGGTGATGTGGTTCATCCACAAGGTCAACCGTCTCCTTGGAGATCTGTCACTCTCATCCCTTCTCTTTTTTTAATATCCCCTTAAGACTTCCCCCGTGGCTCAGACAGTAAAGCATCTGCCTACAATGCGGGAGACCCGGGTTCAATCCGTGGGTCGGGAAGATCTCCTGGAGAAGGAAATGGCAATCCACTCCAGTATTCTTGCCTGGAAAATCCCATGGACAGAGGAACCTGGTAGGCTAGTCCACGGGGTTGCAAAGAGTTGGGACATGACTGAGCAACTTCACTTTCACTTTAAGTTACTAAGATTGTTTATTTAATTTATTAATGCATTTATTCAATAGTTTCATATTTTTTGCTGTTTAAAAATTAACTAAATGGAATTAAAAAAAAATATTGACTTACTTGGCTGTGCCAGGTCTCAGCTATGGCCTGTGGGATCTAGTTCCCTGACCAGGGATCAAGCCCAGGCCTCCTGTTTTGGGAGCATGGAGTCTTGGCCACTGGATCACCAGGGAAGTCCCAAATGGAATATTTTAGATCCCTCAATCTCTCAAAAAATTTACAAACTAAATTACAAGTGCTCATGTGTACGTGACACTTCATCTGACACTCCCCACATGTATTCCCTGAAAGCCAGTTATCTGCTGAGCAACTACCATGTGACAGGAACTGTGCCTGATGAGACAGAAGAAACGTTTCTTCACTTTGCTACATGCTCTGAGAGCAGAGGGGAGTTAAAGAACGGGCCCCACAGAAATTGCATTCTGACACAGAATGTGCTAAGAGCAGGCTGATCATTCCTGCAATTCTTACCCTATCTTAAAATTCTCAAAGCTATATAACTTAATATTTAAATATAATTTTTAGAGGAGTTGTTTGGTGGCCTAGTGGATTCCAGGCATTTACTACTGTGGCCCTGGGTTCAATCCCTGGTTGGGGACCTGAGATCCCCCAAGCTGTGCATTATGGCTGAATATATATATATATATATATATATAAATACACACACACACACACACACACACACACATATATGGATTTTTAGTCTTGTGAAATCCTCCAGATATTAACACCTTTACACATATAACTAGTCTTTCTAAAGAGTTATTAATGAAGTTTGATCCAAGAGTCCAATTATACCCTTTTAGAATGTATGATAAAAAGAGCAGGTGAACACTGTTATAAAACTATGTTCACAGATGATTTTCAAAATGAAAATCACATGGTGTGTACACTTTTTATTTTAATGTTCTATAGCCATCCATCAATACAGAACATCATTTTTTAACAGATTAGTAGCACTGACATATAGAAATGTACCGTAATTAATACAATCTCCCTGTTGCTGAATATTTTGATCACTTTTGTATGTAATCTTGATAGATTCCTATATTCTGTAATGGAGCATTTATAAAAAGCACTTTAGAATAAGCATGCAAATTTCATTATACTTCAGTAATTCTTTTCAAGATCCTAAGCTATTTTTTAAAAGTTAGCATGCATGTGTGCATGCTAAGTTGCTTCAGCTGTTTCCCACTCTCTGCGACTCTATGGACCATACCTGGCCAGGCTTCTCTGTCAAGGGACTCCCTAGGTGTGGGTACCTTAAGATGCAAAGGGCTTGCAATGGGCAGCTACATGTGTTGACGTTTTCACTTCAACATTAACCAATTATGGCAAGTTCCCTACCTTCTCTGAGTTCACCTTCTTTATAAATTAGGAACAGTATCCCCTGCTTTTTCAGGGTTTTGTGAGACTTGAGTCAATAGCCGACAGATGTGAAAATTTAGAACAGCCCCCAAAATACAGTAGAAATTCAATCAATGCTTTATGTTGCTGTTATAACTTTTGTTGTCTTTATAAGAGGATCCTGAAAGGATCATCTGTTTGTTTCTCTGCAAGAATTTCTATCTGACCAAACCTAAAACTGACGAGATCACAGCACGACATTCCAAACAGGAACACGGAGGATCGCCAGCATACCTTCCCATGAAGGTCGTTTCTCTCTTCCATACACCCTGGGTAGAAAGCGCAGAGTCTGACTAACTGTAGTTCACTGTCCGGAGTCATGAGGAGAAGGTCAGCCGCCAGATTCCTATTCACATGACAAAAGGGGAAACTTCAATGAGGAAAAAACTGAGAAACAACATTTTAAAACTCTTTCAAAGGAAGAAGAGTCTCCCGTGCCTTCCTATTTACATGGAGTACTGATTTCCTACGTAATTATGAAACTCCTCTAAATGTAGATTACAGAAATCAAAGGGCACAAAGGAAAACTAGATAATACCTGTATCCAACGGATGGAAAGCTAAAAAGAAAATAAATTTGAATATCATGAATATGTGATGAAAGCCAAGAAAAGGCAAACTTTCACAAGTGTAAAAGCAAACAAGAAGTGTTCTTGGTTTATGAAAGCATATTCTCTTAAGATAATGCAGCTATCTTAATTACTGTGTTTTAAATTTGTGGAGCTCTACTAATAGCTGAGGATTATACACTTCACCTGGAGATAAGCCTGATCCACGTATTTCAGCGTATGCACTTGATCCTGGTTTCTGGTATACATACCTATGGCTGCATAAAGGAAGGGCTCTTGTAGGGAATTAAGAAGAAACAGAAGTTTGCTTTCTATTAAAAGCATCCCCTGTGGCTCAGCAGTAAAGACTGCCTGCAATGCAGGAGCCACAGGAGACATGAATTCAGTCCATGGGGCAGGAAGATCGCCTGGAGGAGCGCATGGCAGCCCACTCCAGTACTCTAGTCTGGAGAATCCCATGGACAGAGGAACCTGGTGGGCTACAGGCCATGGGGTTGCAAAGAGACACAACTGAACAACTAAGCATGCACGCAACACAGGATGTATGCTCAGTTGAAAGATCTCTAATCCTCTTCAAAACTTACTATCTATGGTTTGCTCCTTTTTCAGTGTTTAGAAAGAAGTAGTCACATTTTATTTGAATGAGATGATGACTTCTAGCATAGAGTCAGTTATCTTTGTGGGTAAGCTGTCTGAATTAGACCTCACACTTCTGGTTGGGTCTGAGGCAGTAGGCGACGGGGTCCTCAGGAGGGATGGTCAGTGTTAAGATACATTTGCATCTGATGCTGACAGTGGGGTACCACTCAGTTCTACAGGGGGAGGGAGCTCTTATGTCACTGTGAGATACGCATCAATTTTAGAGTAACTCTAAGATTATTGATTCACTCTGAAGCCCCCAGACCCAACAGGAAAGAAGAGTGGGAAGCACTGCTCTCTTTCTGACATGGCTGTAGTCAGCTGAATGTCTGTGTTCCCCCAGGAGTCCTAAGTTGACATCTAACCCCCAATGTGATGATATTAGGAGGCAGAATCTTTGGGAGGTTGCAGTGTCATGAAGGCAGAGCCCCAAGGAAAAGGGTTAGTGCCCTGATCAAGGAGGCCACAGGGAGTTTCCTAACCCTTTTCTCCATGTGAGCACAGCAAAAACAGCCTGTATGAACCAGGAAGCCCGCTCTTATCAGACACCAAATCTGCCAGTTTATCTTGAACTTCTCTCTCTCCAGAACCATGAATAATAAATTTCTCTTGTTTATAGGCCACCCAGTCTCTGGTATTTTACACTAAGATAGTAGCCAAGGGTATAAACTATAAAGCCAGTTTATGTAACTTTTAGTTTTGGTCATAAAATTTACTGAGACCAATAAGTCTCAGTAAATTTATGCTACTGTTGAGCATCCAGTGAATTGCATATGCAGGGACAGCAGTGTTGTTAGCTGTGATCGTCACCATCATCATCCTCTGTACTGTTCAGCAGTGGCGCCTGCATCATCCACTGTTCAGACTCGGGGTGTGTGTGCAGGCAGTGCAGAGAAGTGAAGTCCTTTCGAGCAAGCTCATTTAACATTTCTCAAGGTTCTAAGTATCTTGGGGAAAGAGAAGACAGAAGTCTAAAATCATCTTTATTCAACAAACCCCTGTTGAGGGACAGTACTGTCTCCGTCATCAATGAAGCATCATCTCCAACGAGGCATGGTCCGCCCTAGGAACCAGGCTCTGAGATACGAGGGGGAACTGCTCTGAGCTCCGGCCTCCCCAGGTCTTTCCCAGGTTTAACTCTTTTTTTTTTTTTCCATTTATTTTTATTAGTTGGAGGCTAATTACTTTACAATATTGTAGTGTTTTTTGTCATACATTGACATGAATCAGCCATGGATTTACATTTATTTCCCATCCCGATCCCCCCTCCCATCTCCCTCTCCACCCGATCCCTCTGGGTCTTCCCAGTGTACCAGCCCCGAGCACTTGTCTCATGCATCCAACCTGGGCTGGTGATCTGTTTCACCCTAGATAATATACATGTTTCGATGCTGTTTTCTCGAAACATCCCACCCTCGCCTTCTCCCACAGAGTCCAAAAGTCTGTTCTGTACATCTGTGTCTCTTTTTCTGTTTTGCATATAGGGTTATCGTTACCATCTTTCTAAATTCCATATATATGCATTAGTATACTGTATTGGTCTTTATCTTTCTGGCTTACTTCACTCTTTATAATGGGCTCCAGTTTCATCCATCTCATTAGAACTGATTCAAATGAATTCTTTTTAATGGCTGAGTAATATTCCATAGTGTATATGTACCACAGCTTCCTTATCCATTCGTCTGCTGATGGGCATCTAGGTTGCTTCCATGTCCTGGCTATTATAAACAGTGCTGCGATGAACACTGGGGTGCACATGTCTCTTTCAGATCTGGTTTCCTCAGTGTGTATGACCAGGAGTGGGACTGCTGGGTCATATGGCAGTTCTATTTCCAGTTTTTTAAGAAATGTCCACACTGTTCTCCATAGCGGCTGTACTAGTTTGCATTCCCACCAACAGTGTAAAAGAGGGTTCCCTTTTCTCCACACCCTGTCCAGCATTTATTGCTTGTAGACTTTTGGATAGCAGCCATCCTGACTGGCGTGTAATGGTTTTGATTTGCATTTCTCTGATGATGAGTGATGTTGAGCATCTTTTCATGTGTTTGTTAGTCATCTGTATGTCTTCTTTGGAGAAATGTCTGGCCCATTTTTTGATTGGGTCATTTATTTTTCTGGAATTGAGCTGCAGGAGTTGCTTATATATTTTTGAGATTAATCCTTTGTCTGTTGCTTTGCTTGCTATTATTTTCTCCCAATCTGAGGGCTGTCTTTTCACCTTGCTTACAGTTTCCTTTGTTGTACAAAAGCTTTTAAGTTTAATTAGGTCCCATGTGTTTATTTTTGCTTTTATTTCCAATATTCCCAGGTTTAACTCGTAAGAGCAGAGCTCCCCAACCTCTGGGATTTAATGCCTGATGATCTGAGGTGCAGCTGATTAATAATAATAGAAATAAAGTGCATAATAAATGTAGTATGCTTCAATCATCCCAAAACCATCTTCCCACTTCTGGTGTGTGGAAAAATTGTCTTCCACGAAGCTGGTCCCTGGTGCCAAAAGGTTGGAGACTGTTGTCTTAAAGCATCACCCAAGTTGATTACAAGTGTATAGTCATACCATCTTTGCTATTATTCTCCATTAGAAAAGAAACTTTATTTTCTAAACCTCCAACTAATACACAAGATCCAGCAAGAATGAGCGTAGATATGTAGATTTTCCAATGTGGGAATGTGCGGTCCTGATAATCTTAGGAAGTACATGTCTGTTGTTTAATGATGCTTTATGTGCTTGAAATATCACTTATTAGAACTGGATTACTTCAGAATAAGTGATTGTAGATTTCATTATATGCTCACAGTAGTTCTTACTATTCATTCATATTTGTAGCACCATTTCCTTCACAATCTTATCTTTTATTTAAAAAGGAGACATTTAAAAATGCAATATTTTTAAATGTGATATTTAAAAATATTGCATTTTTAAAACATCACATGCAACTTATATTTAAAAATGCATTTCATCACTATGAAACTATTCTTTAACTTTAGAAATGCTCACAGACATATATACACACACACATATATATATGATATATATATATAAAGTGGAATATTACTCAGGCATAAAAAGGAGTGAAATCAGGTCATTTGTGGTGATGTGGTTGGATCTAGTCTGTCATACACAGTTGAAGTAAGTTAGAAAGAGAAAAACAGTAAGTTAGAAAGAGAAAAACAAACATCACATATTTTAATGCATATATATGGAATGTAGCAAAATGACAGAGATGCACCTATTTCCAGGGCAGGAATAGAGACGAAGACATAGAGAATGGACTTGGGGACACGGCAGGGGAAGGAAAGAGTAGCACTGATGCACATACACTTCCATGCATAAAGCAGCAATTGGGAAGCTTCTGTGTAAAACAGGGAGCTCCGCTCGGGGCTCTGTGATGACCTAGAGGAGCAGTGGGATGGGGGTGGTGGGGTAGGGGTCCAAGGGGAGAGGATGTATGTATGCATGTAGCCGATTCACTTCCCTGTACAGCAGAAACTATTAACAACATAATACTGTAGAGCCATCACGCTCCCAATTAGAAAAGAGAACGCTCACCACGCGGGGATCATCATGCACTTCCTCGCCAGTAACTCCAGGGCATAGTGGGTTGCGGGTGCTGCAGGCTCTCCCAGCACGGTGCCCACACAGACAGCCAGCTCCAGCTCGTTTCCACGAATCAGGTACGCCATAGCCAGCTTGTTCAATGAGAAAATAACGTCTTCAGTTTCGCAGGGGATCAGTAGGATCATCACTCCCCGCCAAGCTCACAAAGCAGATCAAGTTGTATTAACCTATAGCCGATTATTCTTGTAAAACAGTGAGTGTGATATTTCTATAATGTTCTTGTCCCTTCTCCAGGGGATCTTCCCGACCCAGGGATTGAACCCAGGTCCCCCAAATTGCAGGCAGATTCTTTACCATCTGAGCCACCAGGGAAGCCCACTTAGGCAAGGGCAACCACAATTCCCAGGTGGGAAAGCTGGTAAAGGGTCAGAGAGTAACTTTTATAATTTAAGACTTTCGCACCTTTGCTTACATTTTTGGAATTAATTAACAACAGTCTGTCTGCAATAGCCTCAACATGTCCTTCAGTCCCTCAGAAAAAAAGTAAATTCTTAGAATCTTCCTCAATAGTGTACAGTGATTATCAATTATCCCTTAAGGTCAATATATCTAAGGATACATGCAAAATAGAACCGATATCGTTACTTAATGGTTTTCCCATGACATTAGTGGGTTGAATGAAAAATAGCTTAAAAATATAACTTGCGAAGAACATACTAAACTGTTTATAAAAACAACTGCTTTCAAAAGTCAGATATTCTGAGCTCCAGGCCAGTGATTTTTGCCTTCACCACACTAGTGCTTCTCATATATGATAAAAACTTAGAGTAAGGTTGTCACAAATATGTATCTTGTGATAAAAATTTAAAAATAGGTGAATAAAAGATTTCATAATCTGCAGAGTTAACCTGTGTTTATTGGGTATGGAATCACTCAGGCTTGGAAAGCATGCAAAACCAGATCTTACACAGAAAGACCGTATTTTTCCCCCTCAAACATCACAACACACATGAGCCACCTTGAAATGTACCTCGATATTGTCCACAGCCAGGTGGCAACAGGCAGCTAGAACTGCTCGGCCATCCTGAAAATACCATTCTGCCAGCTCTCTGCAGGCTTCCTGCAGCAGTCTAGGAAGAAAAAGCATACATATTCAATATAAACACAAGGACTCCATCATAAAAGTGAATGGATGCTCTTTTATAATAAGCTGATTAAGGGATCAAACACAATTTAATTGTATATCCTTGGTTTAGGTATAGGGAACGATTTGGGGGTAAAAATCAGGAAAGCAGTCTTTCTTAGTAGATCAGCTGACAAACCACCTCCCTCTCCCAATTTTTCCTCTTTTCAGAAAAGCCTAATTTTAAGAATTTCTTATCCTACACTGAATAATTTATGCCTCAGCTATGGGGGCAATTAACATGAAAAGAATTACAGGTTGAAAATTTATGTGGAGATAGGAACAGGGGGAGTGTATGTTGCTAACAGATCATTAAATGCCAAGTTTCGAAATGGCAGGGGATAGCAGCAAAGGGCCAGGAAGGAATACGTCAGTCTTCATACGCTTAACATTTTGTGATCATTTTTCACTTGATGAGTGTCCTAAAAATTTAAATATCCTATTTTCTGGAGCAATGATAGGAGCAAAGAGATTAGATTTGAAAAAGGTCAAAAGGCTGGAGAAGCCTAATTTCTATTCCTTTTAAAAACATAAGTATTTTGATTTCTTTTTTTTTTTTAGATTAAAAAAAAAAGTTTACTGAATTACAGTCGATTTATAACATTGTGTAGTTTAGCAAAGCGAATCAGCGACACACATACATTCACCCACTCTTCCTTAAGATTCTTCCCCCATACAGGTCATTACACAAGTATCGAGTAAAGTTCCCTGTGCTATACAGTGGGTCCTTATCAGTTATTTGATTTATATACACTAGTGTGTATGTGTCAAGAGGCCCGGATGTTATTTTAGATGCTAACACCGGGGTCCTGGATTGTGACTGATGTCAGGGAGATGCTATCTACACTGAGTCTATGGTGAAACATTCACAAACAGCACATTTTATTTTCACTGCCTCTTCTCCCCAGCAGGTTTGATCAGAGTTTCAAGGATTTAGGTGCTTTATAAGCAATTACTGTACTGAAATGCAGTTTGTTTTTCTGAAAGCTATGTAAGATGTGTGCAGGCTGTGTCTACGTGCCTGACTTTTCCCTCCTCATCCAGGGGCAGATGCTGTGATGAAACGAGACTGCAGTGAGAAATGCAGGTGAGGACATGGGACAGCCAAGTGGTCTGTGTACAAGGAAGGATGACCTCAAAAGCCTCTAAAGGGAAATAAACCACAAAAAATATTGACTCCAAGCGAAGGATGAGTCGCTCACTCGTTAAAGTCTTCCTTGTAGTTATCATCAGAAAAAGAAGGTCCTTTGGGTGTCGAAACATGGAAGGTCTGCATATTCCCCTCACAAGCAGCCTGGAATTTAATGCGATCTTTGGTTAATCTTTAGCTGTTGATAATATCAACCTAAGAATATTATTTTGAACATAGTATATTCAAACCATGTTTGAAACTCATACTACAATTTGGAGATACCCTCAGAATTTGGAAAACAAACAAACAAACCCATAAATTACACTGTATCAACATGAAGCATCAAGTTTACTTCAAAGAGTTGTTCAAGTGTATACAATGTTCAGCAAAACTGACCAGATCAGAATTCAGAGATGCCTGTGTGTTTAAAGATCTAAAAGAAACTCCCTGTGATCAGAGCAAAAGGCAGGGTGGTGGAAATGTCCAAGAAAGAAGGACAGGATACGGGCAGAAGCCAAGGCACCTATGACTTTATCAATCACTGGAACACGACCACCCCCATCCCAAACATGCCCCCACAGAGCTGGGCAGCCCATTTAAATTACATGTTTTTACCTGTGCGACAAGCAGAGCTTCTTTAAGCTGACCTCTTGACATAAAAAAATGGACCAATTTTTTCACATCACCAATGGCTATGCAGTACGGAACGACGTCATCCTTATCTTCCTGGATTAACTGATCAGCTCTCCTAATAAAGTAACAACAACGTTTTTTACGAAACACTAATTTCAAGGTTCTCAGCTGGACTCAGATTTTCTGAAATGCTAAAAATACCTAAAATTTGATCAGCATTCCCAAAGACTTAGCTTTATAATCACATCATTATTGGAGGATAAAAGTTTTCTGAAGCAATACTATAGGCACTTGTTTCTTCCATAAAACATTGCAGATTTTCCTATTTTAAAGGCACTGAACAGGTCTTAAATCAATATAGCTTATCTACTAAAGTGAGGAATATATCTTTCTGAAAATAAGTTGCTACCTACACATGTATGATGGAATATCTACTCTCAACTGGATTAATGTCTACTTTATTAAAGACAGAGAATTTTAAATGTCTTCATGGCACTGCAATGAATGGAGAAACTCTAAATGCAAGTAGCCTAAAATCATTAAAAAGGATAATTCAAGAACACAGATATTGATAGTAAAATGCAAAACACTGTTAGTGCCTCAAGCAGGGTAGTTTAAAGAAAAATAATGTTCCAGATATTTGAGGAGGAGAGGGGACCTGAGTTTGGAGATTATGGAGGATATACACGTGTCTGACTGTCTCTTTCTCTCTCTCTGTATCCATCACTGTCTGTCTGTCTCTCTTTTCCTGTTTTTGGTCCCACTTTCTCAACAACCAACCTCATTAACCCCACTCTTAATGTTTAACCTTAGTTTTGTTGAAAACTAATCTGGCATATTTAATCTATGCTGGCATTTGCATTAAACTACATTTCAATTGCCAATCTCTGGGTGAGTACAGTAGACACTTTTCATATGGTCTGCCTTCCCTGGTGGCTCAGATGGTAAAGAATCTGCCTGCAACACAGGAGACCTGGGTTCGATCCCTGAGTTGGCAAGATCCCCTGGAGAAGGAAATGGCAACCCACTCCAGTATTCTTGCCTGGAGAATTCCATGCACAGAGGAGCCTGGCGGGCTACAGCCACAGGTTTGCAGAGTCAGACATGACTGAGCGACTAACGGATCACTGTTAACAGTCTCCAGTTCCTGGTGTTTTTCCCAACAATAAGGCTTTCACCATCTGACTCTTGACTTCCCTCTTACAGCTGTTAAGAAACAACACTCTCTTCCTGGACATTTGTAAGTTGGACTGAGAGACTGCCTATCAATCTCTGCGAATGGCTGAATCCATAAAACATAAACTTGGGAGTTGAAGGGAGATGATTTTCTGGCCACCATGTGAACTAAGGAGCAGAGAAAATCAGGCGGGTTGAAACAAAATTGTTTTGTGACATAAATATCCTCTGCTAACTCGACTTTATTAAGGTCTCAGTGGGAGCAAGGACTTTACAATTGTTCAGTGAGGGTACATGAACTGAGAATCACTCAGGATTCTTAGAGCTTAGGATAAGGAGCCTGCAGTCTGAGGGCTGGAGCCAGACTATTGCTTCACTTATTTGGGGCGAGTAGTTGATGGAAACAGTTCCCTTTCCCTTGGTTAATGTGTTAATTCCCCTGGATTTCAGGCTTAGTCTCTGATTCATTTTATTGGTACATGTGAGTCACAGCTGAATTTTTTCTAAACCATGAAATGAAAACCAAATGCTTCATTTTTAATGCCAGAAACAAGGTAATTACTCAGTAAACAGTATTCGTCAGTAATTGGCACGTAGTGAGGACTAAATATTTGTGGAATGAATGACTAGAACAGGATAGAGAATACTCTTATGTTATGGGTTGGACTGCGTCCCCCTCACCACCATCAAAAGATCCGTGGAAGCCCTAACCCACATGTGTGTGTGCTTAGTCTGTTTAGTCGTGTCCAATTCTGCGCAACTCCACAGACTACAGCCCACCAGGCTCCTCTGTCCATGGGATTTCCCAGGCAAGAATACTGGAGTGGGTTGCCATGCCCTCCTCCAAGGGATCTTCCCGACCCAGAGACAAAACCTGTGTCTACTGCATTGCAGGCAGCTTCTTTAAAGTGAACGTTACTTTATTTGGAAATTGGGTTTTCGCTGAAATAGTTAATTAAGATAGGGCTATACTAGATTAGGGTAAACTCTAAATCTGATATGACTGGTATCCTCGTTTAAAAGGGGGAAATGTGGACCCAGAGACACATGGGGGATCATCCACGTGAAGACAAGGGGGCCACCAAAGTGCCAAGGGTTGCAACCACTAGAAGCCAGGGGAGAAGAGTGGGCCTAATTCCTTCTCAAAACCTCCAAGAGAAAGCAACCCTGCCGACAATTTGATAGATTTCTAGCCTTCAGAACCTCCAGAATCGGGAGAGGACATGTTTCTGTGGTTCGAAACACTCTGTGGTCCTGTTACGGCAGCTCCAGTAAACCAATACACCTCAGAAAAAAATCTCATTTACTGCATTCCAGTCAAGGACCTCCAGGTAACCCTGTTCAGTGGTAAAATGTCTTGACCATCAGCACTACTTGATATCCATACTTTTCAACTGCAACACGTTAAGTGGTGAGCATGTCGACTGACAGGTCCTTTCCTCCATCAACAGGGGGAAACTTGCCTTCCACCACTGTTCTTATCAGATGTCAGGTCAAATACAAAAATGCCAAAATGACTTATAACTGACTTGTTTAATTTATTGTATCAGGAGATACAAAATTCAGTTATCATTTAAAACAATGGAAAAGTCAAAAATCTCAAGGGCTACTAGCATATGTACATGTTGCTTCTATTTTAACAAAATGTTAAACATCCATCTGGGCACAGATGGTCGGCCTCACCTCTGCATCAGCTTCTTCCAGTATTTCACAGACACACTTGGCGCAACTGACAAGGCTTTGTCCCACTAGAACGGAAGAAAAGCAGAAACAGACCCACTTGGAGTGTGTGGTCTCTTAACAGACATTTATTTGAAATGAACTCACATCTACAATGTAAGTTTTTAAGCTGAATACACTCAGGAAAGCCACTCTCAGATGGCGGGACAGGAGCCACGCCTCTGCTTGGCTCTGCTTCAGTCACCACCCACCTCCAGAAGGCACCCACTGTTCTCAATTTTAACAGGATGGATCCATCCTAACCTTTTTGGAGAACTCTGTTTTGCTAATTCTGTGCTCCCTAAGGATTGGGACATGCCGGAGAAGCACTCTTCAGCAGCTGACCCTCAGAGAAGACGCTTCTCTGGGCCAGCGTGGGATGGACAGACAGTGTTAGGGGAGTCCACTGGAAGCAAATTAGCCAACACAGATTTTTTTAGGAATCAGAGACTCCAGGCTTAGGCAGTGGTTCTCAAAGGCGAGCCTGTGTGAGAAGCTGGTGTGTTTGTGTATGTGTGTGTGTGTGTGTTGTGTATGCACGCATGTGCGTGCATGTGCACATACACTCCGTCATGTCTGACTCTTGCAACCTCATGGGCTGTAGCCCGCCGGTGTGTGTGTGTGTGTATGTGTGTGTGTATGCACGCATGTGCGTGCCATGTGCACATACACTCCATCATGTCTGACTCTTGCAACCTCATGGGCTGTAGCCCGCCAGGCTCCTCTGTCCATGGGATTTCCCCAGCAAGAATACTGGACTGGGCTGCCATTTCTTTCCCCAGGGCTTGCTTAGAAAAGCACCCGTGTTGGGCTCCATCCCCGGAGCTCCCGATCCTGTTGTCTGGGTGGGAAATGCATGTCTAACGATGCATATGTTAACAACAACGCTGACACTGCTCACCCAGGATCTCTCTGCAATAACTCCTGCTCTGAGGCACACCCCTGTTATCAGGTGAGCAGAGGACCAACCAGACCTGGAGAAAGGCAAGCCTGAAATTGAGTATTTAACTAAGAATACCGCATTAAACTCTTTTGATTTTGCTTTAACAGCCCATTACCTCTCCAAGTTCAACCATCAGCTCACAGTATCTCTGAATCTGTCCCAGCCGCAAGTGTATCTGGGCAGCTTCCTTCAGTCTTTCCTCTTTGGTAGGGGCACCAATGCCACCACCAAACTTCGACATCTTCACTGTGGTGAGTTCTTGGGCTTCAGACTGGGTAAGAAGAAAACGAAATTTCCTAAATTTCATTAAGCAAGAGCCAGTGACACCAGATGATTATAAAAGCATCATATGGATACACACTTTATAAACATACAGGGCTGGAAATTAAATATTTTTTAAAAATCACTGCTTTTTGCCCATAAGGTATAATACTTCTTTAAATGTAATATTTTGTTATGGTAGAGAGTGGGGTCCAGATGTGGCTGGTGCTGGTGGGAAGAGGCTGAATCCGATTTTTCTTAAAACTCACCAGAAACCCAGAGATCAAAAGGTAGTGAATGATAAAGTAGTATGTGACTGGTGGAAAAAATATATATAAAGGACTTTAATAAAAACCTAAAAATTACTGGCTCACTCTCATTGGCTTCTATACTGTCAAAGGTAACTGTTATAGTCATTAGGTGCTTATAATCAAAGTAGAAACATTACTTTGCCAACAAAGGTCCATCTAGTCAAGGCTATGGTTTTTCCAGTGGTCATGTGTGGATGTGAGAGTTGGACAGTGAAGAAAGCTGAGGACTAAACAATTGATGCTTTTGAACTGTGGTGTTGGAGAAGATTCTTGAGAGTCCTTGGACTGCAAGGAGATCCAACCAGTCCATCCTAAAGGAGATCAGTCCTGGGTGTTCATTGGAAGGACTGATGCTGAAGCTGAAACTCCAGTATTTTGGCCACCTGATGGGAAGAACTGCCTCACTGGGAAAGACCCTGATGCTGGGAAAGACTGAAGGTAGGAGGAGAAGGGGGCGACAGAGGATGAGATGGTTGGATGGCATCACTGACTCAATGGACATGAGTTTGGGTAAACTCCGGGAGCTGGTGATGGACAGGGAGGCCTGTCGTGCTGCAGTCCATGGGGTCACAAAGAGTCAGACACGACTGAGCGACTGAAGTGAACTGACTGAATCACAGAGGTGCTTCTATATGGAAATGACTGTTTCTTACAGCATCGAATCCACACCCCTGGCACGAGTCTCCCCATGGTCTAACAGTTAAGTCAACCACTGATACTTCAAATATAAAAAGCTTTTTCTTCTTTCTCGTCCCAGGACTGGTTTGCTATTGGCACTGCATATCACTTCATGTATAAGGTGTACTGAAATCCATTAAAGGATAAGATATGATCATTTTTAATGAAACATATCCCAGAAGACAGCCTGGCAGGCCTCTGAGACAAAAATCACACATATGATCATCTGGTAATAGTGTAAAGGTAAAGCATTTCAAGGGTCTTCCAAGTGACGTTTGAAGAATTTCATGAGATTCAATCTGTGAAAACCATAACTGCCTTAGTCTGTTCTCAAATAATTCATACTATCATGATCAATTTTTATTGAAGATTTATCTCTTCAATATTCATTTTAGTCTATCCACTCTAATTATATACATTAAAATAATTTTCATATTTTAATGACAAAAAGGCAAAAGTAATTTTTGTTTTAGCACAGCACAACTGCATATGCTACTTACCGTTCTGAATTTAATCAGATGTTTCAAGTGCATTATTCCTTTGCAGTAGTTCTGAGGGAGTAAGCTATCATCTTGCCCTTTTATCACTGCAACTAAGGTCCATAAATTGTCACTGCCACCTGGAGGCTGAAAAGTTGATACAGGACACCCAAAGACATAATAATGAAGTAAAAACTTCAGAGCATTTTGCATCTTTAAAAATATAATGCAGGCATATAAAACTTGAAAAATTAACAAAACAGTATTTTCCTTACTGTTGATTTTCTTAAAGAAATTTGTGTCTCTTTATTTTTATTTGTGTTTTTGACCACACACCATGTGGCATGCAGGATCTCAGTTCCCTGCCTAGGGATCGAAGCCGGACCACTGTACTGGGACATGTAGTCTTAATCGTTGGACCACCAGGGAGATGCCTACCTTATTTAGAGTTTCTCGTTTCCATTTGCATTCTTACACTGGGACAATACAAGTAAACATGTGAACTTAATGACAGAAAGTCATCATGACTTGTTTTGGCTAAAGAGGAAATTTTCACATTTAATTCCTACAATACTTACGGATAAACATTCTGAAAACCATCTGAGTTTTTTCACGCGAAGGTTTCCACTTAGTTTCTCTATCTCCTGTTTGATATCTCTTGACACTTTGCCACACAGCAGTGGGGGCGCGCCCTGCTCTATGGCAGAATCTGGAGAAGGGATACAGCCTAATGAGAAAAGAGTGCTTATCAAATTGTATTTAGAAAGAAGGTCTAATACATGCAGAGTTTCAACACCTGTGTTCCCAATGATTTCTTCCCAGGATCTGTCTGCCAGAATATTTATTTGTAAAGGAGTTATTAATGGCGTTAGTGACCAGAGTCTCACTGTAGAGTCCCGGGAGCAGGAGGCCACTGTGAAGGGGCGGCGTGGGTGGCATGTTAGACCTGGAGGGAGAAATAAAGCCATTTACTAAAGGAAGCACCGAAAAACTTTTATTTACGTGTACCTCTGAAGTGTGAGGAGTGTTTGTCGCTCAGCTGTATCTGACTCTTTGTGACCCCATGGACAGTAGACTGCCGGGCTCCTCTGTCCCTGGGATTCTCCAGGCAAGAATACTAGAGTGGGTTGCCATTTTCTTCTCCAGATCTTCCCCACCCCAAGATGGAACTCAGGTCTCCTGCATGGCAGGCAGATTCTTCTACCTTCTGAAACACCAGGGAAGCCCTACTTCCTTAGAGCTGAAGTTATGAAGAAATGTTCTAAATAACATTTCTGTCTTGGCTGTAAATGATACAAGGATGTTTAAAACAAAAAGTACTAAGTATCTTCTATAGACAGGAATACAGGGTTGAATAATTATTAGAAAGCAGATGGTCCTGGATGACAGTGTTGAAGTTACATTTCAGCTGCTGTATCAGCAAACTGGCAGTCATATCAATGGAATACACAGTGATCTGTGAGTTAATGGCTGGCTGGCTGGCTGTTCTCATTACAAGATAGAGAAAGATTTGAGAACCTTCACTTTAGAACATCCACAAATGGGGCTCTCTCCCATCCTCAGGCCTGCACTGCAGTAACCAAAAGGCCACTGGGGTCAAGCACATGGTTACAAATGACTAGATTAGGGTTCTGTGTGTGTACAGGCACTCAGTCATGTCCGACTCTTCCATGAACCCATGGACTGTAGCCCGCCAGGCTCCTCCGTCCATGGGATCCTTCAGGCAAGAGTACTGCAGTGGGTTAGTTAGGGTTAGCTTCCCTGAATCATCATTTTGCATTCATAATTCAACTACCTAACCCCATTGATGTTTGGGTGCTACACATGTGAGCAAAGTGATGTGCAAAAGATAAGAAATTTGATTTTCCTTTCCCAACTCATTTATACTACAAAACTTTGTACTATATTAAAAAATAAAACACTGCCCTAAATATCCAAGAGCAGAGGTAAAAGAATGGCTAGGTAAGTCATAACTAAGTTATGACTGATTTCCTGTTTTACAATTTACCGTTGGGGTGATGCTAAGCGAGAAAAACCCCAGCCTCACAGGTGAATATGTGCAAGGGTGTGTGTGCGGGGGGTGTCTGCTTCTCTGCAGAGACAGAGACACCACAGAGCTAACAATAGCTATCTTCTGATCATTTCTGGAGATGCTTTCTATTTTATTCTGTGTATTCTGCTACTGAAATGGTAAACTTCTTGAATGCATACTTTCCAATAAGGTAAGTCTTATTTCAAAATGAAATACTGCAAGATTTCTTCAAAAACACTGTATTCCTCAGAAACTGAATCATTAATACAGCAAAATTTAGAAGTACATGAAAAACACTTTACCGTACACATCTGCACCATGATCACACACAGTATCCAAACATATTCCTTCTCGTGTGTCCCACACTTTTATAGTACAGTCCCAGCTGCCAGATATTAGCAGGTATGGGATCTCAGGATTCCACATCAGTCCCCTCACAGGCGCCGTGTGTCCACTAAGAATATTTATGCACGCATCTTGAGTGTAATCCCAGATTCGAACAGAACTGAAAACAGGATATTATGCATATAATACCATTCAAGTTATAATTTATCTAAAGGGTCAATATATTTTTAATGGAGCACATATTGTTAGTGATTATTTCTTAGCATACTGAAAAAGCAGTTTATGTTTCAAGATAATGTTGATTCTCCACAGTGCAAAGAATGAATAATTAGTTGGGCTGGAGCCAGCCTATTACAATATTTCTTCTCTACTTCTGCTGGTCATTTACTACTGATACTACATATATGATTTCACATTTATATGTTTGAAAAAATTGCTTTCTTAAATTATCCAGAGCAGGTAAAGCCAAAGAAAAAATATGACTAACAACATGTGTACAATCATTTAAATGCATTCAGATTATTTGTATCATAAAAATATAGCATATATGATGATGGATATTATTTGAAAAATCAATTCCTATCTATGCTTCTTAAAAAAGGCTTTATTGGAGGATAATGACTTTACAATGTTGTGTCAGCTTCTGTTGTACAACAAAGTGAACCAGCTACAGGTATACATATATCTTCCCTCTTGAGCCTCCCAGGGCCCCCATCCCACCCCTCTAGGTCATTACAGAACTCTATGCTTTATCAACACAGTAAACTGTTCATGTTTATGTCAGTAAAGTAAGTTTCTTAGTTTGTGAAATCACTCTCAGATCAAGTACAAAATTTAAATACAAATGGATTCATAATATTACTGGAGTTTACTGACTGTAGAATACAAATATTATTGAAGTAAAATTTTAACTCAAAATCAATTTAAAACCTCCAGATGCCAACTCTGCTTGGATAACTCATAATTATCTTTTAGTTACAGATTTATATCAATCTGAAAATATCAAAATATTAATACTCCAAAGGTTATATTACACCATTAGAACATACATCATATATTTTTATTTAAGGCATATCTCTTTCCGCTTTATATAAAAAGACTTTTCTTCTTCTCTTTTATACTAGGACAGGATAATGTGGTTACTATTACAACTTTTACTAGCACAAAGTAAGAATTTTCTTATCTCAATTTATCTCTTATTCAAATAGCCCAAACTATACTATGCAAATATGTCTGATATAAAATACAGTCAAGATTTCAGAAACTTTCACAAACTCAGAAAAGAATGTTAAATCATTCTCATTTCTAAAATATCCTCTCTTCACTTTAACACATATAATCATCTTTTACTCCATTCTTAATGAAAACAGAGTACAGCTGTTTTCCATACTAAATATGAGAACATTATTAAAAATAAACTCTTGTCTATATTTTAAAAGGATTTACTGTTTCAGACATCTTCCCCAACAAACCCTTCTGCAATTTTCATTTCTGTTAACTTTGTTCTTAGTAAGATAGAAATAAGCAGCTACAGCAAGCACAAGAACCTCCTCCAGGGGATTTTCCCACCCCAGGGAATGAACCCAGGTCTCTCACATTGCAGGTGGATTCTTTACCATCTGAGCTACCACGGAAGACCAAATAAGGATATAGAAAGCATGAATATGACAGTAAGTAAGGAACACTGTTTAGACGTATGCAGTTAGATACTTGTTAACTGCCTACTTGTAAAGTACATATTTAGAGTAGTTCCACATACAAGTTGGATAATATAAGTAAGCACATTTCTAGAAAATCGCAAGCTTTTGAGTTTCAGGACTAGAAACAAGAATCCAAAAGTACACACCCATCATCAGAGCCGCTGCAGAGAGTCCCTTCCCTCAGAGGAGACCATCTCACATGGAACACTTTCTCCGTGTGCCCGCTGAACACCTTCAGTGGTTGGTCCGAGCTGGTGGCCACGTAATAGACACGAACATTTTTGTCTTCACAGCCCGTGGCTATCATGTCTCTGAAACATCATCAATGGCCCATTAAAAAAATGACAGGGTTGATAATACCTGTTACTGATAGTTTTTAAATGTACACCGTACTAATTTCTAAAACCAGAATGCTCTGCTCCCTTCATGAAGTTACACTACAAACCAATGTAAGTAAAAACATCATTTATAGAAACTGCTCTAGTGCAGTTTCTCAAGCTTCCCTTTTAATCAGGTAAATTTTTTATTTCCCTCAGATGAGAGACAATGGTATATTTACGTCTCTGTTTTTTTTTTCAAGATGTCCAGATTCATAAATTGAATATTTCTCAGACTTTTGTATTTTGCCACTATTGGAACTTGAAAAGGGTCTCAAATGGTCAGTGATTGAGATTTGCTGAACTGCTGGTAGGCAAGTTCATGCCCTGACTGCTAGATTTTTTTGTGGTACTGGTACAAATAGCAGTGTTTCCCCCAGAAGTGTACTAGGAAACTCCCCAAAGACCAGGGTCGACTCATCTGACAGTGAGCCAGTCACAGTCCTGTTTTCCAAATCTCTCTGGTGTTTTCCCCAACTTGAGATGCTTAACTGTTGGATCCAGAAGAATCCTTTGGAAATATAATACGTGGGTATGATCTTTTAATGATCATTGCTCATTATTCTTAAGACAGTGAGACAAGCTAACCAACTATCTGTACCCGAGTGGTCATGCCTGGAGTACTGTTCCCAGTGGAATTCAAGTGCTAGACAGACCTGTGGAACCATAAGCCAGACACAACAGTCTCTCCAAGAACATTAACAATCATGGAGACAGTCCCCAGGCCCAAAGCTAAAGAGGGGAAGCTACACATTTTGGACCCAATTGTCATCAAAACCTTCTCCAAACTTCGAACTGTTGATTTTTGTCATGTCGGTTATCATACCTATATTTATTAAAGCTTACATGTCAAAATACAGAAATCTTTAAACTAGCATGCTGGTTGGTCTGTAAATGTATAGATTACACGCACCCAAGGCTTACTGATAAACAGGCGTGTTTCTCTATGTGGGAAAATATATTTTGCATAATACAAATAGTTACATGTACACAGGAGTATATTTTACATATATGCAGATACACAGGTATAAAATCTTAGAAATGAAAAAACTCAAAAAATGTATACACCAGCTATCCAAATTATAAATTCAGGAATATGAATAAACTTTTATAAGTTCAAGATGTTTTTTACTTATCTCCTAAGACACTAAGTGGAATATAAATACATTAGAACATTAAGAGATTAGAACATTTAGAAAAGATTTTTAAAAACAAAAATGTCAAAATGAAAAATGAAATTTATTAAACAGGCTTACCAATAAACATAATAGTTAAGTATAAAGGATTTTTTTTTAAAGCTTTCTTAACCAACAAAGCATACTGCATTCATATCTTTTTTCCCCCAGAATGGTCAAATTCTTAAATTCTTATTAACCCTATAAAGAGGGAAATAAGAATGTGGAACTGTTCTGTTGATCAGATACAAGATAATTCTACTCATTTGTATGTTCAACAAGTATTTACTACACATCTACTTTTTTTAAGGCATAGTGAGGGTTAGAAGCACAGTGTTTTGCTCAGAATATACTGTGAAAAGTAGAGAACCACTGCTGATCTCAGGGAGAGGTAGCCAATTCACAACTAAAACTTAATTTTCCGATGTTAAGTGTCCTAAGGTGTATGATACTACAGGGGAAATTTACCTAAGATGGGGCTCAGGAAGACTTTTCTGCAGAAGTGGTTCCTGAGCTGAGAGGGAAAAGTTATGTATGCCCAGGTCAGGGCGGACCGGGTCGGGTGGGGTGGGAAGTACAATCCTAGATGCAGGTGAAAACAGGAGCAAAAGCCCTGAGGCAAAAATGAGCTGGCCGTTTCAAGAAGTGGAAAGCCACTGTGGCCGGATTGAAGAAGCAGAGGTAGCAAGGCCTGGGATGCGATAATAAGGCACAGAAGAGCTGGCTTATTCATGGACTGCCTGGCTAGGACTCTGCATGTTATCCCAGGATCAATGGGGAACTGCTGGGAGATTTAAGCAACAGAAAACTGTGCTCACATCTGCATTTCTCCACGCTCACTCTGGCAGCCACCTGGAGAACACAGAGAGAGGAAGTGGTGACAACAGGTGTGAACTCCGAAATTGATTTAGAAGGCTTCTGCAGCAGTCCCCAAAGAGACAAACGTCACTGGGGGGGTGATTAGGAAAAGAATAATTAGACGGAGGCTATGACAGGAGTTGATGGCTGACTGGAAGTGACAGTTGAGGGATGATAAGGTCTAAAAAAGGAGAACAAGCATGCATCTGGGTTTCAGCAGTTTGTTGCCGGCACTTTCAGGCAGCCGAGATGGAAAACACTGCAGAGGAGCTGGCCATGTGCTTTTTCAGAATCTTTAGTGTGTTATAAATTCCATATTTACTGGAAGAAACGCATAGGTTCATCATTTTGTATAATAGTGATTTGATTCAGAACCCAGTGCAATAAGGTGTGACTATCTGATATGTATATTTTAAAAGCATAATTCATATTATTTTCACCATATTTAAAGAAAATTTGACTTTTCAAATACAATTTGTTGTTGTTCAGTTGCTCAGTCATGTCCAACTCTTTGTAATCCCATGGACTGGAGCATGCCAAGCTTCCCTGTCCTTCACTGTCTCCCATATATTTGACAGGATATAATTGATCCCACATATTTGAGGGCATATAAATCTAATTTATATCCTGTCAAAGAGAGGTGTGAAACAAAAGATTCTTGAAAGTGCAGGGGCTTAAAGGATCAATTTTAGTGGAGGTTTGATGTGGATTAATTTTTAAATTTAAGCTGATCTTTACATGGTAAATACCAGGCTCTTAAGCAAGGTTGACCTTTCAAAGCCATTCTAAGCTCCACGTCTTGGGAAATCACCCCATGTCGTGGCATTTGCATCAGGTGGAGGCAATGGAAAGTCATGGGGACAATACCACTGCAGAGATTCCTAAGAGGGTTTGGAGCAAGGGTCACATCTCTCAGAAGCCACAAACAGACGGGACCGACTTCCATTTTCATTAGTGAGCTGTATGCTTTTCCCTAAAGCAGCAGCAAGTTGTTTGAAAGTAGGAATCAATATTCCTAAATCATGTAAAAACTTCATGGAATAAAAATAGATGGTTAAATATGCAGTTACAAGACGAGGTAAGGGGAATATCACCTAAAAAGTGTGATGAATATTACTTATGAGAATAACATCAAACTTTACGGTTATTCAAAATCTTTTAAAGTGTTTATTACTTATTTCAGGGAAAAATACTTACTTGTTGTTTTGGCTCCAATCACAGCCAAATACTGCAGCTGGATGTCTATATTTGTGTAGTATTTTACCATCAATTGTTCGAATTATACTGAAATTAAGTATAATATGTTAATAGAAAATTACGACATTCTAAATACATTATTCAAAGAAAGAAAGCCAAAACTGTGTAATTTAAACAAAATGTTTTAGGATAGAGACTTTGTCTGCAGAGCACAGGGAATATTTAACAGGACCATGTAAATGATATTATAAATATGATAAGTATGTTTACATCACATAGTATTAATTATGGCAACCCACTGAAACCTATTTAAAGGAGATACTTTTTTATTTAGAACATATTTTCTTATATTTATTTAGGAAATACATAGTATAATACATATATTTTAAAATATAAGCATTAGATTTTCAGTTTCAAAATTTAACAGTTGAAAATTTATGTTTAAAACAACTTATTTACAGAGCTGGTTATATGTGTTATTACACCAAGTCCAAGACATGCAAGTTATTCTAACATTTTCATGGCACATTTTTAAGGGATACAACTAGAAATCTGGAGGACCCCTTCTCTCCAAACGCACTTTATACACTTTCAATGCAAAAATAAAGGAAGCTTAATACTCTACTGTTGGAGTAGGAAATGGAAACCTATCCAATATTCTTGCCTGGAAAATTCCACGGACAGAGGAGCCTGGTGGGTCACAGTCCACGCGGTTGCAAAGAGTTGGACATGACTGAGCACACAATATCCTTCTATATTATTACCATAATACAAGGGCTATTAATTCTATCAGGAACACAAAGCTGTGTGAAAATTAATGTACTGCAACGTTTTAAGTCTTTGGCAAAGACCCTTTTAAAATATTCCTGTTATGTGAAAGTGAATGTGATAGTCGTTCAGTCTTGTCTGACTTTTTGCAAACCCACGACTATAGCCCACCAGGCTCTACTGTTCATGGAATTCGCCAGCCAAAATACTGGAGTGGGCAGCCATTCTCTTCTCCAGAGGATCTTTCTAGGCCCACCAAAACTTTTGAGGCTACTAGGGAGTGGTGGTAACCTACACTTAGAAATGTTTAGTGATTGACTGTGGTATTTATCAAGTAAGTTATTGCCCTGAAAATACATGGTAAAGCTAACTACATATCCCCTAATAAAAAGCTCTTAGGTACATATTTCGTATTTTGGTATGTATCAATTAGCAAATAGTCATTTTTCAAGGGAAAAATTCCTAATACTGTTGTTTCTGAAAATTTTAGCTTCCTGGTACAGATCTTTGGTTTCTACAACTTCTGTATTTTCCAATGAAGTTAAAAAGTGAGGGTAAGAAGATTGGGCAGGGTATAGCAAAATCCAATAGGAGATAAACTATTTCTCAACAACAATAAATTCCTATACCACATGTCAAAGATGACAATACCTATAGCTATATGGTAGTACCACTGGATTAAAAACTTCTTTTTTAAACTCAAGGTCAATTCTTCCTTTACATATATTTCTTGGAAAACTACTTTTCCCTGGGACTCACATATTTCTGAAACACAGGGTCAGAGAAGTTAGTTAGAAATTTCCTACAGCATGACCTTATTCCTCCTTGCAAAGCCTTTTTATCCTTTTTACAAGAATAACATCTACTGTGAAAAAGTTTCTAGAGCACTTGATATCTCTTGAGTCACTTGGGAAATGAATTACCCCTTCCTCAAAACGTGATGAGGATTAGACTCTGAAAGTACTTTAAGTTGCTTTGAGGCAGTCACAGTATTTTAGTTATAATTTGAGTCATTTTACATCTAGAAAGCAATTACTGGTTTATTTTTAAACATCACTGCATTGTTATTTATTACTGATATATGACAGCAGTGCATGTGCCTACACATGGAGCTGCTAAGTCGTTTCAGTCACGTCTGACTCTTTGAGACTTCATGGACTGTAGCCTGCCAGGCTCCTCTGTCCATGGGATTTTCCAGGCAAGAATACTGGAGTGGGTTGCCACTTCCTCCTCCAGGGGATCTTCCTAACTCAGGGATCGAACCTGGGTCTCATCTGCTGCACTGGCAGGAAGGTTTTTTACCAGTAGGGCCACCTGGGAAGCCACCATAAATAATATTTATGACAGCTGGCAGAGCTGTACAAACAGAATCTTATCAAATATTTTAATACAGGTGCTAACATGAGACACTGATATTATCAAATGCATGTTTTATAAACAGTGTGATTTCATACACAGTACTTACCAGTAACCATCACCACTGCAGGTTGCTATTCTTTTGGAATCTTTATGACTCCAGGCAATGCAGAATATCCCATTTTTTCCATGCTTCAAAAAATGCAAAATACCTATCAATAAGAAATAATTCACCCCTTTTTTCTCTTATTTATTTACTTCTTCTAATATTACTTATCTATTAGGAACTTGCTCTAGATGATGCTACAGAGACATTACTGTGAACAACAGAAAGCTGAATATACACTTTATGAATGCATAAAGCAATCACACTTAAGAAACAAAACCACTGTTTTAAGACATAAACTGGGTGGCTCTATTTCCTTTTGGGGGACACTGATAAAGACCCAAAGTCTGTCAGTCATCTGTAGAATTAAGCTCAGTTTTATACCTTTTTCTGGGAAAGCCCATCTTTCCCATAATGATGAAGATAGGTATCATTTTTAAACCCAATGCTATTAAAACTACAGTGTAAGAGATACTGCAAGCAACTGTTATTATTGACTGTTCTTCTAAATTTCAAAATTTTATTTTTATACAAGAAGGAAAGCTTAAGGTTATTATTATAACAAATCACTCTATGTTTACCTGTACCCTACATTTATCTGTACTCTTGGACTGGAGAAGGGTAAAGGAATATAATCACAGCTGGTATGATTAGAACTTTTAAAAACACAAAGACTATAATCTATACACAGGAATGTCACTCATCAACTAGCTAATGGGTGTAATCAACTAATTTTCAAGTCTCCCAGCATCTTGGTGTCTTGTGACCTAGGGACCTTCTCATTAGCACTAGGCAGCCCCAATCTGACCCCACAGCCAGCCCCAAGCATCCAGGATGTCTCATGTCATTCATGGCTTTCCCTGCATCCAGTAGCACAGACAGGACCAGTATCAAAATTGCTTAAATTTAGGATAATAAATGTGGGAAAAATTAACACTGCTGACTTCAATTAACTGTTACGTGGGCCTCACAAAATAAAACGCAAGACATTACTGGCCCCTAAGTGCACTGAGTTCATGAAGATGAACTCAGCCAATGGAGGATCCCCAATCCTTCAGCTGAATGAGTATAAAGACCACCTCCATTCCTGTGTCCATCTTTATAAAGGTGGACGCCCCAAAAAAGTTAAAAATAGCAAACAGAAGATCACCTTAGTAAAACAGCCTTAAAGCTCCAGAGAAAAAGTCACTTTGGTCTCCCCTTAACACCAGCCACAATTTAAGTACAGTAACTACTGTAACCACTTGAATGAAATTTCAGGAAATCAAGGGACAATCCTAGACCCTGTTCATTATTTTCCTCCCTTCACAGCTAACGTGTTGTTAACAAGATCACATATATTTTGCAAATATTAACAGAACAGAGGGAAAAAATGGAAGGACAATTCAACTCCAAGCAGAAGGAAGAGTACAATCCGTGACACTGAAAAGAGGAGACAGGGAGTTTTTACAATGTATTATGAAACAATGAAATTTGAGACTCAGAACTAAAACATTCAACTTTACCATCTTACAGGTGAACATTCAGGCTCAAGGCAATAAAATGATTCTGTGTCAAGAGCTAACAAGTGACAAAATGGGGACTGTGATTTGGGACGCATTCTGAGCTTAGTCTTTTTCTCACTTTTGAATATTTGCCTGGACAATTTTGTGGAAGATGGCTTAAAATCCCTTTGAAACTCTAAGGCAACTTTAGGTGAGTAACTGCATCTTAGCTACATTTTTCAGAATTCATTTTAGCATATGCATGTCCTCTTGGATTTTCTTCTAATTAAGAGAATATAATGCCACCTGCTGATTAACTATTAAATTATGAGAGAAAAGCACTGAAAATGCATGAGGCCATATAAGACATTATATTATTTAGCTAGCAATAAATACATCCTACCTCATTAAATCGTTGTACCATTTTGCCCTTTTTAATATCCCAAATAAAAGCACCGTTTCGGGAAGTTGCTCCAGCAATACAATTTAAATCACCTTAGGAAACAATTTGTTAGACATTATATGAAACGTTTGCCACAAATGCAATTCTTTTTAAAAATGTAATTTTTGAAAAAGACTTGAGTTTGCAAAGTGCTTCAAGTTTTTTCTTTTAAAATAATGAAAATTATTAATTGCATGCAAATACAGACAGAAAGTACAGTGCATAAATAGATCATACAAGTTCAACAATTATCAAAGTATGGTCAATCTTATTTTCGTCTATAGCCTCCTACTGGATTTTTTGGAGTAAAGCTCTAACATTGTGTTCTTTCATCAATAAACACTTGAGGACAGATGTCTAAAATACAGGATCTCTTCTATTAATGTGATCAAACTAGTATAATCACAAATAGAAAAACTATCAGCAATTCCTCAGTATTATTACATATCCAGTCAGTATTACCATCTAACAATTTTAGTAATCTATTAATGGTTAGGAAAGTAAATATTTCTGTAAGCAAGACACATGAAAAAATTCATTTTCTCCATCAAAAACATAATGCTCTTTATTTTTAAGAAAAAAATCTATGAAAATCAAATTACTGCTTAGTAGATGATTCTGAATTTGTTACAAGGCAATCAAAGAAGAGGTTTTCTCCATTAGAAGAAACAAAACAGCTAGTACCTGCTACCTAGGAGAAAAAATATAGAGGAATTATTTTGTGATAAATGACTGTAAGTACTTTAAAAAATAGTCCTCACCAGTTTTTCTAGGATTTTCATTCTGCTACCCTGTTGGGGCTCTAAAATTACTGGGGAGAAAGTTTTCACATTTATTTGCACCTCTAAAAATTTTCCTGTGATTCTTCTCTAAAAATAGGGAAAAGAAAATAGAAGTCTGAAGACATCAAACCCTTTAAAAACCCAATATATATATTCAGGGCTAAAAATTTATGTGAATGAGGAGATAAGCTAAAAATAAGCTATATACTGGCTATAAGTCAGTTTTTAATTCATATATTAGTATTAGAACAAATAAGTAAAACATTCTACATACTTTTTAAAGTGAAAAACTCAGTTTAGTTTGTAAAGTTATTCATTACAGGAAAATTTAATGTTTTGGGAGAAAATGCCAGTGGTTTCATAGGACATCTCTTTTCTTTTTAAGGATAGGAAAGTATAAAGGTTCCATCATACTGAGTCAAAGAAAAGACCCTTGTATCGCATAAAATCCTTCAATATTACAAAAGTGGAGTTTATACAAAATCACATGCTCATAATCAAACTGATGATCATTCTTGTTCACAAAACAGATGCACCAGGGAAAGACAGGTAGCATAATTTTTAGAAAAAAAAATATTTTATTTTTATATGTTTGATTCACATGAAAATATTAAGGAAAACTTCCATCATGTAAAATACATCACACCTTTACAGGGCTTCCCTTGTGGCTGAGACAGTAAAGAATCTGCCTGCAATGCGGGAAACCTGGGTTCGATCCCTGGGTCGAGAAGATCCCCTGGAAAAAGGGAATGGCAACTCACTCCAGTATTCTTGCCTAGAGAATTCCAGGGACTTCGGAGCCTGGTGGACTATGGCTCATGGGGTCAGACAGGACTGAGCGACTAACACTTTACAGGCAGATCTATACAAATGCAGCTAAAATGAGATGGGTCAGTATCACCCTGATTTACTGTGGCTTTTCTATGTGACTACACCATACAGAAGGGCCCAGAAATCAAAGTGCCTGCTCAGGGAGTTTATTCTAAATCCCCCCAAAACTGTACCAACACATATGTTGATACTAATTTGCCTCCACAATCATTTGGAGCAAGGCAGCACTGAAGGACAGAAGATAATGCAGATGAACATAAAAGTTAGGAGAGTCATTCCACTGTACTCCTGATTTTAATAAAAAGGTTCTTACCTGGAGCCCATGAAAGGGAATAAATAACCCCTTCATTCCCCGGGGAAGTGTATACCGCAGTCAATGTGTTTATATCCCAGACTTTTATGGTGCCATCAAATGAAGCTGTTGCTAAAAGATTGGGATTGTCAGGCTTGAATTTGCAGTCAAAAATAGTTTCCACATGACCCTAGGAATGCAGCATAAAAAAGTACAGAAGAAAACCAGGCAAAATATGAATTCTCAGCAGGGTTGTATTCTATTTGACACAGAGGCTTCATGATCAAAACAAGAGAAGTTTGTAGACTCACAGAATTATTATGACTCAATAATAGAAATAAACCTTAGAAGATGCTTAACCCAACCTTGCTCATTTCATGAATGAGAACAAGAAAGCTTGGAGTAACTGGCAGAGATGGACTTTCTCCTTCATCCTGAAAGACTATTCTATTTCTCATTTTGCTTCCAAAACACAGTGCAACTACATGATTTTCTGATAATATACATAGGGGTAACATGGTCCAAACAATAATTGGAACACTGCCAAATGCAGAATATTCCCGATAAGCTAAGCAGACAGTACTATTTAAAGAAACTTAATGTTTACAGTATTTACAATAAAATACTTTTAATAGTTCTAGACATCTTTCTAAAAAGTTTCAGTCAACCAAAATAAATTTCTAATGTATGGCTCTCTACAAAAATAATCTGAGGACAATATTAATACATAAGTAAAAGTAAATATCACTTTATACACAAAATAAGTATTGCATTATAAATAGAAAGAAAAACCACAGACATACCAAGTCCCTAAGAAAATCCCACTTCTTGGCTCCCATATCATAAAGTCCAACGCCACCATCCAAGAAACAGCACACAGCGTGACCAGGAGGAAGAGAGAACGCTTGACTCTGTGTCAGAGTTGGGGGTGGGACCGCTTCACTGGTGGAGGATGTGTAATGATTTTTGGTTGGGGACTGGTTTGAAACTAGGAAAGAAAATAATCAACCCTAATGCCAGTGGCTTCCCACATGCTGGAATGAAGTCAAAGGACTTAATTTATATAGATTCTCTTTCGTTTTCTTTTATCTAGAATTTGTATCAGCAAACTAAGCAATGATCAGATTTTCTGCCACAGGTGTACTTTTGCAGAACTGCCTAAGCACACACACACACACATATATACAAAATGGGATAGTATTTTGAAAAGAGGTGTATAGAGTGCAGGTGAAACAAGATGAATAAAACTTAGTGTGAGGAATCACAATATGTGGTGAATATTTAGTTTCTTACTGCCCCATAAATTAAAATACAGCATGATTATTTTGGAATCAGGTTTTCTTTCAAAATGCTGATATAAAAGCTTACTGCTTCCTCTACACATGCGAACATACATGTGAAGTTTTTTCTTTTAAAACTAATAACCCTCTTCCATAGATTTTCAATCCAATGAAAATAACTATTTTTGAGATTATTTATGATTCACTTTATCTTGTGGCTTAGCTGGTAAAGAATCTGCCTGCGATGCTGAAGACCTGGGTTCGATCCCTGGGTTAGGAAGATTCCCCTGGAGGAGGGAAAGGTTACCCACTCCAGTATTCTGGCCTGGAGAATTCCAAGGACTGTATAGTCCATAGGATCACAAAGAGTCAAAACACGATTGAGCAACTTTCACTTTCACTTAATTTAGCATCTATATTAACAATCACAACTGTCTGACATACATGTGCATCTTAATTTCTTCTTTGTCAATGTTTACTTTTCATAGACTGTCATTTCCCCAACTTTGCATAAAAGTCTCCTTGCTTAGTCATTTTCTGTATATTCTTTCTTTTTTTTTTTGCAGCTTAAACAGTACAAATTTATTATCTTAAAATTCTGCAGGTCAGATCTGATATAGGTATCACTGGATTATCACATATTTTGTCTTCTTTCAAAAAAACTCCCTTAGAATGTAAATATGCTCTTGTAAATATAATTTAAAATAATGACACCACTATAAATTACTAGGTCAATCTATATTAATTACAGACTGGAATACAGATAAATATTTCCCAGTATATTTTCTTTTTGATTCAGAGCAATTTTACTTAACCCTATCACTCTATTTCTTATTTTCACCAGTATCATTGTTTCATTTTCCCCATGTAGACAATTTAATATTATTTTAATATCCTCATTCAATAACATTTAAAAATGTAATTTTGCTCTAAATATTTTCAATTTAGCAACATTAGATATTGTGTGGCTTTGATGGTATCTTCAGCACACGTATTATCAAGGGCAGTTTTTAAAAATTTGGTCTTCAGTAGCATCCAATATTTGTTATATTTATATCATTATATGATTTTATTTGATAGCAGCAAATATGATATTTTTAAATATTAAATTTTAACATTTTTACTTACATTTTTTCCTTGGAGGAGAATTCAGTACATGTAAACAGTGAAATCCTGTTTTCTTTAATTTAAAATTATCAACAGGTGTTGTTCTAGAAACATTCCAAATGCGTAAAACACCCACTTGGGAATCTAGTCAGATCAAAGGAAAAGCATTCTTAGTACATTTTATTTGAAACATAAAATGCTGAGATATAAAAGTAATAACAAAATTTCAACTTGCCAGATTTTTAACACCACTTACTGACATTCTTCACACAATATTATATAATAATACAAAGAAGCAGCTGAAATGATACTCATCCCTTAAATTTTTGGCAGGTTTTGCTATTTTTTTTTCTGTTCCAAATTGCCTTCTAAGCTGAGAGGCTGCTTGCTTTGGCAGCTTCACCCAGAAAAGACAGTTATGACGATTTTATCACAAAAAAGCACCCAGTGACAATGTGCTCTAGGAAAGCCAGTCACAGAAAACTTTCTACCCCTGCCATTAACAATCCCTCCTCTTCTGAAACGTTTGTAAACTGCTTCCTGGCTCACCTGCAGCCAAACAAGGACTAGCTGATATGCCTGAAGAGTAACTAGAAAACCTCCGGCTTCCAAAATTCCCACCTTAATAAGTTACTCCAGAAACAAGACTGGCAGTTCCTCAACTGGTTAAATGCAGAATTACCATGTGACCCAACAACTGCTCTCCTGCATACACATCCAACTGAATTACAGACATGTCTACACAAAGCCTGCACACACAAGTTCACAGCAGCATCATTCGTAACAGCACAAAAGTGGAAACCAGCTAAGTGTCTATCAACTGATTAATGGAGGAACAAAATTTGGCATATCCATACAATGGAACATTATCCATCTATATAAAGGAATGAGTACTCGTCCACACTAACTACATCATGGATGAATCCTGAAAACCTGATGTTAAATCAGAGAAGCCAGACATAAAAGGCCACACACTGAATGAATGATTCAATTTCTGTGAATCTAGAATACGCAAATCACAGAGACAGAAAGCAGATTAGTGGTTAATGTACATACATGTGTGACTAGGGAGTGTGTTGGGGGTCATGCAGACTGACTGTTGATGGGTACAGAGTCTACCAGGGGGATGAGGAAAGATTCTGGAGGTAAATGGTGGTAACAGTTGTACAATGCTGTGAACACAGGAACCACTAAACTGTAAGCTTTAACTTGGTGATTTTTATGACATGTGAATTTCATCTCAATCATAAGGACAGTAATAATACATAAAAATACAATTCCCGCTGAGCGAGGTGGCGCGCGCCTGTAATCCCAGCTACTCGGGAGGCTGAGGCTGGAGGATCGCTTGAGCTCAGGAGTTCTGGGCTGCAGTACGCTATGCTGATCGGGTGTCCGCACTAAGTTCGGCATCAATATGGTGACCTCCCGGGAGCAGGGGACCACCAGGTTGCCTAAGGAGGGGTGAACCGGCCCAGGAGGGAAACGGAGCAGGTCAAAACTCCTGTGCTGATCAGTAGTGGGATCGTGCCTGTGAATAGTCACTGTACTCCAGCCTGGGCAACATAGCGAGACCCTGTCTCTTAAAAAAAAAAAAAATACAATTCCCATGTCTATCATTAATTATATCATGTGCAATTAAGTCAATTAACATATATAAAAGAATCTGTCTACTTCAATGTGTAGTTTAAGTACTTAAAAAATAAAGACTTCTTTTAAAGCTGTTGAAAGGATAAAGACTCTTTTGTCTTTTATTTTAGACTTAGCAAATATGGGCAGTATTTGCTGAAATACTGAAAGTACTCGGTTTCTCTGAACCTATGTAAGTGGTAAGTCTCATAATGACATAATGGTAAGTCCTAATGACTATTTTAAATTCCTCATCTCCCCATCCTCCTTCACTTCTTAGCTTTGCTGACTGTCTTATAATTAGGAAAACATGACTCAAAACTATCAGTGAAGCTAAGCGACCTCTCATTCATATAACTTGTTTTTCTAGCCAGTACCTTTATTGTCATCCAGTCATGGCTGAGACTGAACTGCTGTTCCCTTTTGTATACACACAAACCCAGACATGCACACACATGTGTACATACATGACATATTATGATTTTTACCAGAAACCTGGAAAACTGAGCCTTCTTTTCATTTTTATTTGTCATTATGTTAATGATACACAATAGAAATAAAAGTAAACTTGGCATTTACTGTAAAAAATGATATTTGAGATATTAAGGTCTTACACAAAATCAGTCAGTAAAAGAGTACAATTTCCCTGACTCAGTTAAAGAACATGCACATATGTGAAGCTCTGGGGAACAAGGCAAAGTTACCTCCAGTTACAAACATCCCAGGAGCACTGGGAACCCAGGCCAGACACTGCACGGACGCTGCTGCACTGGGCAAACTGAAGGTCGTGATGCAACAAAGTGACTCGGAATCCACCAGGCGAAGTCCATGATGCAAATTAGCCACGAGCAGATAGTCGGTAGAGAGCGGGTCCCACTCCAGGGCCGACACGGGATCCTCTTCATCTGTCCCTTCAAGAGATTCAGGTCTCAGCACATGCTTCTGGCTTTTATTACCTATTCAAATGGAAGGAACATGATTTTCAACAAAATTTCCAAAATAAGACTAACAACTGAGATCATTTGAACTTCCTCTTTGCAGACCACTGATCCCAAGAGTCCTGGGAATACAGGTCTGGCATTTCTATGTGGAAGTCGTAACTGACATGTGGATGCAGGGGAATTAAGAGTTTGTCCAAAGGATGACAGGGAAGCTGCAGTCCATGGGGTTGCAAAGAGTCAGACACGACTTATCGACCAAACAACTAAGGATGCAGCTGGACAGAACGGCTTTGCTTAGGCAATCCCCAGTATCCTGGATATCTTTCTATTTGCTACTGAGAAGTTGTTAGGAAAAAAAAGTGGAAAAACAACCCACATGATCTTGTCAACAATTACAATTTCATTAAGTTACAATAGCATAGGGGTAGGGAGGTGCTCACCAACAGGAAGAATATTGTGTTCTGATTGAAAGCACAGGCTCTGGAGGGCTGCCTGGGTCCAAATCCTAGTCCCAAGATACTGACTATCTGTGTGCTCACTTTTTTATTCTATGGTAGAGAACATGACAATACCAGAGGTCTTCTTTTTTAAGAGTAAATGAGTTAATTGCCTTGAAGTGGGTGTATGATAAACAGCATCCCAGTATTTACAGTCATCTGTCCTCATTCATACTATCATTTGCCACGTCGTAATTCACTCCTGGCTACCAGAACAAACAGGCAGCCAGAAAAGCAGGGAGATGAAACGAATGAAATTAAGTGAAGAAAAGGACCAGCAAACAATCCTCTTATTTCTTCCAAATTATATACACACTGGTGATAACGAAAAAAGGGCTTCTGCTGACATACCACATGGGAACTGCAATTAAATGCTCCTCTCGTTTGCAACAGAAAGGCAGTGAAACAGCTAAGTTTGGAGATTACAACCTTAACAGAAGCACCAATTATTCCTAAGTATCATAAACTTTAAAAGAAGTGCTTTCTCAAAAAATAAGATAACTGAAAGATACCATAGCCCTTCCTGTAACATCATCATTACATACTGTTCTCCAACATATCAGATTATAAAAGCAACATTACACAGGCACTATGCCATCAACAACATTTCCAAAAGGAAACAATGAAAATTTGATTAGTGCATATCCCTGGAATAATACAAAAGTCAATTTAATTAAAACATTTCTACTATGAAGTTTGAAAACAGATTTTCTAATGATCTGGTTTTGTCTAAGGATATAACCTGAAATAGCTAAAGCAGTAGTTTTCCACCTCTTTTGGTCCTGCTGCTGCTGCTAAGTCGCTTCAGTCGTGTCCGACTCTGTGCAACCCCACAGACGGCAGCCCACCAGGCTCCCCTGTCCCTGGGATTCTCCAGGCAAGAACACTAGAATGGGTTGCCATTTCCTTCTCTGATGCAGGAAAGTGGAAAGTGAAAGTGAAGACACTCTGAAGTGTCCGACTCTTAGTGACCCCATGGACTGCAGCCCACCAGGCTCCTCCATCCATGGGATTTTCCAGCCAAGAGTACTGGAGTGGGGTACCACTGCCCTCTCCCTCTTTTGGCCCTAGAATCCCCTATTAATATGAGAATTTTTTTTCCCATTTTTATTAGTTGTAGGCTAATTACTTTACAATATTGTAGTGGTTTTTGTCATACATTGACATGAATCAGCCATGGATTTACATGTGTTCCCCATCCCGATCCCCCCTCCCATCTCCCTCTCCATCCCATCCCTCTAGGTCAATCCCAGTGCACCAGCCCCGAGCACTTGTCTCATGCATCCAACCTGGGCTGGTAATCTGTTTCACCCTAGATAATATACATGTTTTGATGCTGTTCTCTCGAAACATCCCACCCTCGCCTTCTCCCACAGAGTCCAAAAGTCTGTTCTGTACATCTGTGTCTCTTTTTCTGTTTTGCATATAGGGTTATCGTTACCATCTTTCTAAATTCCATATATATGCGTTAGTATACTGTATTGGTCTTTATCTTTCTGGCTTACTTCACTCTTTATAATGGGCTCCAGTTTCATCCATCTCATTAGAACTGATTCAAATGAATTCTTTTTAATGGCTGAGTAATATTCCATGGTGTATATGTACCACAGCTTCCTTATCCATTCGTCTGCTGATGGACATCTAGGTTGCTTCCATATCCTGGCTATTATAAACAGTGCTGCAATGAACACTGGGGTGCACATGTCTCTTTCAGATCTGGTTTCCTCCGTGTGTATGCCCAGAAGTGGGATTGCTGGGTCATATGGTAATATGAGAATTTTTATATGAAGTCCAATACAGAATAAAGTGGTGCTTTTCAGACTGAAAGGGATCAGAAGGCTTGAAGCCTCAGCTGGACCACCTGCCAAGATGTCCAACCCCAACCCTGCCCAACACACACAAAGAAATTCACAAACATACTAAGCGGGGTTTAAAAATCACTGCTTCCAAATGATGGATGAACTGCACTATTGTGGGCAGTCCTCCATGATTATTTCTTCCAAGAGAGATAAAAGCAGGACAGCAGAGAGGTTGAGATCACAGTCTGCTCTGAGAACCGAGAGGACAGAAACAACCATCTGTGGTGACAGTCACTCAGAAGGGAAGGGTGACCACCCCTCAGGACAAGACCTGATGCTGTTGGTGCTAATGGTCCCAGAGTTTCAAGCTCACAATTTAGAATGCAGTGTCAGAACTGAAAAGTAGGGCTTCCTTCATGACCCATTAGCTCTTGCATCTGTAAGGAAAACACACCACAGGGCTATACTAATGTTCTATGCACGTTAATTGCTAAACATCCTACAGAATAATGAAGTCAAGGAATCTGTATTGTGTTGTTACGGGTTGAATTGTGTCCCTAAGAGATGGTGAAATGTACTAAAATGTCTTACAAATAAAATTTACTTCTAATAGTTATTTGGAATCGGCATAGTACTGGATAATATTTGCAAACTATTGTGCTGTGTGTGTGTGCTCAGTCGTGTCCACCTTTCTGCAACCCGATGGACCGCAGCCCGCCAGGCAACTCTGTCCGTATGATTCCCCAGGCAAGAATATTGGAGCAGGTTGCCACTTCCTTCCCTGAGGGATCTTCCCAACCCAGGGACCAAATCTCCATCTCCTGCATTTGCAGATGGATTCTTAACCACTGAGCCACCTTGGAAGCCCAAGCACAACTATTATTTAAAAATTAAAATACTGTTAACTTTCTATGCCATGTAAACATGAAATTACATATATTAATAAGAAAAATAAAATTGAAGACATCTGACTAAAAGAAAATTCTTACCTGGTTGAAAAATTGACAGACTTCCATCAATATGACCAAAGGCAACCTTCCCCTTTTTCTGTGTATGCCATCTGAACATGCAGATATCAGACAGGAAGCTGTGAGCATCTTTGTGCACAGTCACCCCACTGTCTGGTCCTGAGATGGTCCAGATGAACAGAGGGCCTCTGTGGGAAGCAAATGCCACAGCATCACCAGCATTCCAGCACCAGCTAAGAGAGGCAGGCGTCCCTGGAATAAATTCAATACAGATACACAATAGAGAGATGTGGCATAAGATCATGCCATTCAATATTATCTGCATCCTACGCTTCCAAGACAACTAAAATACAAGGTTATGTTCATTATTTAAAAAAAAAATTACCTCTTACTTGGGAATTTAATTTATAAAGTAACCCTAAAGACTACAAGGAACATGCGGAGAGTCTATGATGAAACAGTACACCTAGTTTCTGGTTTAAAACTACTTATATGCTCATATGCTTCACATACTCAAAGAAACTTAGACAGAGTTCTTTCTTTCTTTCTTTCTTTCAGGAAACTATATTGGGTTGCCCCAAAAGTTCATTTGGATTTTTCTAACTGGAACAAACTTTTTGGCCAACCCAATATTAAAGTGATGAATTCTTACTGTAAGCAATGAAAACTTACAATGAGTTTTTTTTGGGCATAAGACCTAGTTTAGGTGATCCAGGTGTACAAGTTAGTATGGGATACAATTCTGCTTTAAAGGATATTAAATATAAATTGGGGTTAAGTGTTATTCTCTCAGTTGCGTCCGACTCTTTGTGACCCCACTGACTGTAGACCACCAGGCTCCTCTGTGGGATTTTCCAAACAAGAATACTGGAGTGGGTTGCCATTTCCTCCTCCAGGGGATCTTCCCAACCCAGGGGTCAAATCCAGGTCTCTTGAATTGCAGGCATAAGGACTAAATGTATGAAAAGTTAAATGCTACTATATGCATTTAATACCAAACCAAAGTTAATGCTACAACTACAGTCTTATCAGGAGTTTAGACTTAAATTTTAGTTTTGCCTTTAATGAGGCACGATACCTAAGCCCATTTCTTTATCTATAAAATGGATCTGACTAAAACTAGCTGACCACCTGTTTCACATGAATGTTAGGGCAAGAAAATACAACGATGTATATATAACCCCTTTTAAAACTAAAAGACAACATACAAAGGTTAATTATTAATCTCTTATAATTGTCTCACTGAGAAAACTATCTCTAAATATTGTTTTGATATTTATTTTTGAATTTTAATGTTATATTCAAATAAATTATCTGGTGTTGATTATGTTTTTTAATTGATCAGTGTACTAAGTCTGATTATTTCATGAAACTGTTTTGGTTTGTACGCATGCACACACACAACCATGAATCATGACATGAAATGTGTTTCTTACATAGACTTTCATTAGAAAGCTTGGAAAACACTACTTTAAAACCTGAGCTTATTGAAGTATAATATTTTGCTTATTGAAATAAAAATATTTCATTCAATGAAGTAAATCCCAGTTAAGAGATATACCTTTCGTATTGTCAAGTTTAGCAATGACTTTTTGTTCTGCAACATTCCAAATGATCACTAAATTATCAGCACTGCCACTTGCAAACAGATCAGGATTATGTGGACACCAAGAGAGAGCAGTGATTGTTTTCTTATGTTCAGACATAATTGCGTGGAGTTTGAATTCATTATAATGGTGATCCAACTAAAAAAAAAAATAAAACATATCAGTGCTTCTTTTTAGGTAATACACTTTCCATTAATAATCACATTATTTTTTAAAAGCTGCACACACGAAAATGAGTGTACCTAATAACAAGATATGAGTACAATTCAAGCTTTGATCTACTTTCAAGTGAATTCAAATGTATTCAATGGAACAAAATCCCAACCACTACAATACTGTAAAGTAATTAGCCTCCAACTAATAAAAATAAATGGAAAAAAACAAAACAAAACAAAGGACCATTCCTGGGGGGGGGGGTGGGAAGAGAGAGGACTGACATTAAACATATCAATTTTAAAACAAATAAAAATAAATGTTCATTTAAGTATGCATAATTCAGAGATTTATTATATTTTCTGTAGCCCTATCTATTTATGAGGGAAAAATACCTTGGTCTTGAAATAATTTTTCTGCAGTTTTTAACTTGTATTTGAATAAAAAAAATGTATGTTAAGTAAGCCAACAGCTCATTACTGCATTATTAAGATATGCGAAGTTTGCAGAGCAATGGCATCATTTGGACCTGCTTTATGTTATTGCTTCTTGGAAAGGGCATTATCTTGTTTTTATATGCAAGTGGCCAAAATGAATAGCCTAATTTCCCTATTTCCTTTGTAACTGTGCCATTAATTAGTAGATCTACTCATCTATCATTTTTAACATGTTTACGACATACTGTTATATACTGTATTTGTCATTTTGTTGAACCTGGTTTTTCCCTTGAACACATAACGAACCTCTCACAGTGTTATATGACACTTTTTCAAATCATGATTATATTATCTATTAATGCCACCAGTCTTTCTTTAACCATATACTTGCAGTAAAATCTTAACTGCTACCATAGTCGCCTACACCCAACACCACAAGCCTGTTTTAAAGATATAAATGCATTTTCTGTACATGTAGGGATGAACAGGTTTACAAGTTTTAACATAGTTAGTGATTTAGTTTACCAATGGTAGATAATGCAGATGCAAAGCATCTAATAGAAAAAACTGCTATAAAAGTCACTCGGTGGAAGAGTCTATAAATACAAGTGCATGAAGAAGTCATTCTGCATGTCAGTGGTCGTCTCTGACTTTAAAATTACCCACGTGGGCTCTTGAGCACAATGCAGAAAACTGAACTCAGGAATTGCAAATCAAGAGTTAATTAAATATTTGTATTAACTAAACTGCAGACTTTAAGAGCATTTCACCAGCTTTTCAAACTTAATTAAATATCAATCTTACCTGAGAAAATGGAAAATTGAAAAGAGTCAGCATTCTTTTACCTGATAAACATAGATGGCCAGGGTAGCACAGTATGCAAACCTGTCCCCACTGGCAGCGCACACGTCTCTGTTCCACGGCTGACACCCAGCGGCCAGCAGTCCCACCTGCCTTACCTGGGACATGTTCACCTTGAAAAGCAAATTCAGAGGAATGCTGGTTACCTCCATTATTCAATAAATAGCCTCTTCATTGTTTTATATCTGTGTTCCTAAATCCTTATCTCTATGCCCTGAAAAAATTTTCCGCTAGCACTATTAATCTCAGTGTATGCTTTCAAAGAATGGGAGCTGAAATCGCCAAATAGCAACAGACATCAAGGCAGGTCATTTCCATTAGGGAAGTGAGATTATAAAATAAATGACTAATGGCATTTGATCGAGGGCTGGGAATCCCACCAGCAGTGACAGGGGTCAGAGTGAAACCTAAAGGGCACATTCCTAGCCAAAGGGTCTAGTACCACTGACCCTTCCCAAAGAGACAGAAACACCCAGAATTTCATGTAAATGTACCAATTTTTAAATACTGGCAATTCATTCAAGGCAGCAAGTTCAAATGTAAAACACTGTGAGCCAACACAGTACTGGGAGTGTTTTCTGTCTTAGAACTTGCGTTTTGCATTGCTTTTAGCATCCTTACAAACACTATCTGAGGTACATAAGGCAGGAACACAAGCTGGGTTACCACTAGTCTTCACTGTGAAGAGGGGACAGAAGGAAACTGGAAATTACAGAATATACACCGTTTATATGGCAGGGCAGAGGATTTTAGAGTAAACAAGCCCAGAGTCAGTTATGTTAACTCTCATTTATTTAAAAAACTACTTTCTTCTTTATATCTCTTCTATTTCATAGTTCCACTTCCTGAAAAGATCTCTTTTTTCCACTCCAATTTTTTCTTTCTTCACCCCATTAAATTCCCTTATGTGAGTGGAACTAGTGATACATTTCCCAAAAAATAATCTGCAGTAAAAAGTAGCATGATAAAAAATTGTGCTTTTGAGAGCTTACAAGTATAAGAAACTGCTACAAATACCTGGTTTCTTCCTCTCCTAATGACACCAAGCATTCTTAATAAAAAAAAAAATACGCACTTTTTCCCCTTTCACAATGTTACAGCAATATTATTTTTCACAGAAAATATACATTATTTCAACTACATGTGAATTAAATAGGCTTTTATAGTTTATCCTTGGGATGTAAGGTTTCTGTGTAAACAAATTTTGAGTTTATATTTGGAAAAGAAACATTAAGGCTGTCAGCACCAACAGACAAAAATGAGAGTTCCTGCTACTTCACCTTCTCACCGAAGTTAGTGGTGTCAGTGGTTTAGATGGGCCAGTCTAACAGGCATGTAGCAGCATTTTACTGTTGCTTTAATTTGCAATTCCCTAATAACATGTAATGTTGGACATCTTTCCATAAGCTTGCATGTCATCTATCATCTTCAGTGAGGTGTCTTTTCAAGTCTCTTACCCTTTTATTTTCTGCTTTAATTATTTCTTATATTCTGCTTACTTTGGATTCAATTTGTTCCTCCTTTTCTAGTCTTCTAAGGCAGAAGCTGAGATGATTGATTTTGGAGCTTCCTTTTTTTCCTAATAAATGCATTCAATGCAATAAATTTCCCTCCAAGCACTCCTTTTCCTGCCTCCCATAAATTTCCTTAAGTTGTACTTTCAGTTTCACTTAGTTCAAAATGATTTTTAATTTCTCTTGAGAGTTCTTTGATCCTTATGTTATTTAGAAAAGTGTTGTCTAATCTCTAAGTACTTGGAGACTTTCCAGCTCTCTGTTACTGATATCTAGTTTAGTTCCATTGTCTCAGAGCAGACACTGTTATTTCTATACTTTTAAATTTGTTAAGGTGTGATTTTGGTCCAGAATATGGTCTGTTCTGTCAATCTCCCATGTAAGTCTGACAAGAATGTGTAATTTGCTGGTGATAGATGAAATAGCTGATAGACATCAAATTACATCCAGTTGCTTGAAGGTGTTGTTGAGTTCAACTATGTCTCTACTAATTTTGTGTCTACTAAATCTCTTCTGACAGAGCGGTATTAAGGTCTCCAACTATAATAGCTGGACACAGATGGACATCCCTGCCATATCTGACTTTGGTGCCGATCCTTAGTTAATCTCTTTCAACTGTGCTTTTTCTTTTTTTGCTTTTTAGCGTGCCGTGTAATTTTTTGTTGACAGGAGGACATGATGTCACTGCCTAAAAGAACTGTGGCCAGAAATAGGTTTTCAGTGTTGTGATGTTAAGATGACTGTGCAGTCCCATGATTATAACTAATTCTCTGTCTTCCAATAAGTCCATGCCCGTGGAGTGGGAATTCCACCAGTACTCTCGGAGATTTTCTTCCCCTAGGTGGGACAGGATGGTTAGCAGGGGCTGGTTCTTTCCCTTCTCCCAGACAGGTTGGGTGCTGATATAATCTCTGCAGATCAGGCTCTGGTGAAACAGAGCAGCCTTGTTAAGAAGAAGGATGCTCTGACATATTTCAGAACAATTCCTTTTCCTCTCCCCTTGCCAGAAGCAAGCAGGATTCTTTCTTTGATATTTACTGTGAAAACCTAGTAAAGGTCCTGGAGGCAAAACTTAGACAAGCCTGGAGGCCTCCTTATTACTGGGTCCCCCCGTGAGTTTTTCACTCTGGGACTTGATACACGAGCCTCCAGCAAGTCACCAATTACTGCTGAGGTTCTCCACCCTGACCCTGGTTCCCACCGAGGTTTCTGTGGGTGGGTTTCTGCTCTGGCGCACTGCGATTCTCCCCATTAAGCCTGTTTCTCCAATTTGGGAGCAGCAGTTGGCCTGGTGACTTCAAATCTCTTAGGAATCTAAGGAGGAGTTATGGATTTTTCAGTTCTCATTGTTTTGTTTTGTTTTAGGCCACAGTGAGGACTTCTGAGCTCCTCATGTGTCAAACTAGAAACTATTAAGTCCTTCCGCTAACTCTTTTATTTAAAAAAAATAAACTTCTAAATCCATGCTAATACATTTTTACTCTATCATGTATCTTGATTTACTTCTTTTTAGTTCCTAAATTGAGGTAATATAAACATTTCAATATTTTCATACAATTGGGTCTGCTGTGGTATGTTCCTGGGCAGCTTTTACAAGTCTTATTATAGCCCAATAACTTAAATCTAGAATTCAGAGTTGAAGAACTTTTCCAAACCAGCCATTAAAATAATAAACAGGAAAAAGCAAAATGGCAGCTTCTTTAAAAAAAATTAGGGTTTTTGAATGAGATACTAAAAATCATGCATTATTAAATATATGAATACTGCCATATCTACAAATCTACATTATATATTTAAACTGCTAGTATTTGAAACTTCTTTGTTATTTTTCAAAATTATCATTATACATATATATATATATGTATCACTTTTATTAAGTGATATCTACAACTGCTGAAGAGACAGTGTCCAGAAGCTTTTGCTATCGTGGTCAGCATGAAAGGTCAGACAGTTAGTTATTCTGGATCACTGAAAATAGAAAACATTCAACTGAAGGCCCATTTCAAAATACACATTTATATTTTAAATATAAATCCTACAAAACACGTCACACATACAGGTAATCCAATATATTTCAAATGTATGTGACAGGTAATTTTATATGTCTGATAAATATTATGTACTCTTTTTATCTGTACTTAAGAGTTATGTTTCATTTCTATGTGAACCACCTAAGTATTTCCACATCCATCCTAAACATCTGCTGTTTCAGAAGACACGTCTTTGTGGCCCAGAAACAAAACACACACGGTAAAGATGAAGTACTAAGTGTGCAGTTCGCCAGATAATGCGGGTTTCCAAAGGAGTCAGGAGGAAAGCCTGAGCACTGTCACCTCACAAGCAACTGACAATGTCAGCAGTCTGGCAACTTCAGACCTACAGAAATACTATTTTTATTTTTTCAACCTAAATTCTATTTTTTGTTTCAGTCTTGGATGAAACACACGACACATACATTGTAATTACAGTGAAAGGTTAACTGTATAAAATGCAAAAACACAAGTTATAAGAATATACCGAAATAGATTTGTATAACAATAAAGCTCATCTCTGCACAGGCAAGATTACAATATAACATAACCATGAAATTTAAATCCAGCTAGAGTTACAACACTGCCAAAATTAGTTATAAAACTAAGTTAAAATCCAGTGCATATACATGTGCCGTGTTTGGAGAAATATATACATATGCTATAAATATTAATTGTATCAAATTTATACAGCAAGTCAAATATATTCGCTATCTTATATCAAATATATTTATACCAAATACATACATTTGACATTGAATATATATTCACATCAAATATATTTTGACATGTATGTCATATATTTCTATATTTCATATCAGATATATTTATACCAAATATATATTTGACATTGAATATATATTTATATCATACATATTTCCTATCAAAAGCTATATTTTATGTCAAATATATAAGTATTTTTGATATTTTATATCAAAGTATAAAGGTCAATTTAGTGATGTTAAGATAAAACTCTTATTTATTTGTATGTGATTTCTCAAACACTCATTTCTAAATTATAATTTTTTTACTTAAAAACCAACTTATCTTTTCCAGTAAACATTAAAAAAACAACTATGGAAAAATACAGCATGCTGAATGCTCATTATGTAGGGTATATATGCACATACATATCATCTGAAAAATCATATGGTGGAATTTTAGAAGAAATTAAATAATCATGTTTCAATTTTCATTATTTAGCGTATGATGTTTCATTGTCATCTAAGTCTGTATAAGAAGAGATTAAAACTTGACCCAAGAAAAGCTCAAACTCATGAAAAGGATATGGCAACTTTAGGGCTGAATGACATCTATGTATGAGAACAAGTTATTCTTTTAATATGTCTCAGAACAAGAAATTCACTAATAAAGGCCAACAGTGTATTAAAGGGCAGACTGGAGTTATGGTGGAGAGAAAGATTTTGAATCTTCACAAAATCTCCATGAGCTGCCTTAAAAATCACTATAAAAGAACACATAATTTTAGTAAAAAAAAAAAAAAAATTTTTTTTAAATCAGCCACTCCCCCCCACCCCCACAATTAGACTATCATCCCCTTTCTTTTCCACAGAGGAATATACAGTCTACACTTGAAAAAGAGCCTTCTGTCTGAACATCCGAAATGCACTGTTATTACATTTAAAATACACAACACAAAAAAAGGATGCTAGAGTTATACTGTGTGTACGTCCGTGTGTGTGCGTGTCCTGGTGGGTGGGTATGTGCGTGTGTCCAGTGTAACTTCAAATACTGCTATTAAACTCACACGCTGAAACATTTCTATCATTTATGGGTAAGGCTGGAATTCAGGATAGTAAGCTACCCACTGACTCTCAGCCTCCCTTATGAAGAATGCTTTAGAATCCACAACACGAGGATTATTCTCCAGAGTTAGATATTTACTGGCTCCAGAGATGTTTACCAGCTTGTTTCACAGCTGAAAAAGAAATCTTCAACAAAAAAACCCAAGAGGCTTAAACTGCTGAGGATTTACAACTAAAAAGATAAAAGACGTAACATACTGAGAAAATATCTTTGATTGATGTGATTAGGAAAGCACCCTGAAGAAGGAGAAAGAACAATTCAGTACTGTGTAACTTTAGTAATATATGCCCTCAAACCACTGGAGAAGGAAATGGCAACCCACTCCAGTGTTCTTGCCTGGAGAATTCCACGCACAGAGGAGCCTGGTGGGCTGCAGTCCATGGGGTCACAAGAGTCGGACACGACTGAGCGCTAGCACTGCCCACAAACCATAGTGGGGAAAAGCTGCTAAAACTACATGAAGATATTCTGTCTCTTTTGTTCCACTCATGAATGAAAAGTAAAATCCACAAACTGCCTTCATTTAAACAATCAAGGGACCTTTCATTTAAAAGGTGAACATAATCAAAGAGAAATCCTATGTTATTCTAAACTAAATCCATGTTGATAAGGTATCTAATAAAATGGCAGTTTTCTGCCATTGCAATAATAGATCAGAATAGCTATGCTATGCAAAAGTTGCCATAGTAACAATGCAAATCCCTTTGAAGCATAATTAATTGCCTAAAAATTTATCAAATGGAACATGCACTCTTCTTCAGAACATTTTTTTTTCATTTTCTTTTACAATATTATTATAATACATGGTATTAGCACATTTCTATCATGAAATGTTTTTCCTTAAGTAAACACTTTCTTGAAATTATTTCTATTTTCATCCATTAATCTCATTAGAAAGAATTCTATTTTATCTTTAAAGCCTAAAGACAATCTGAAAATATTAAGAATTCATCTGAAAACAGGATAGAAAAAAAAACCTTTCTTCAATTTATAATGACTATCCTTATATGTTATCTTTTTACCTCTACTGTTCAATCTATCAAATAAGTATCTTTTTTATCCTCAGAATACTGCAGTGCAAAAATGTCCACAATATAAATGACATAGAAATACAGCTGCATGAGAAGCAAAAAAAAAAAAAGCAGAAAATTATAAATACAACATAAATGTATCTTACTCTTTGTAGTCCTTCATACCAATCATCTTGCTCAAACCAATGTGAAATGTAAGTCATCCAAGCCATAGAATGTTTCTACTTTAATCAAGGCAATTGGAAACCAGCATCAGAACAGTCAGCACCTAAAGTAATAACAATGCGTTTCAACCAAACGGGTTTACCAAACTCTGTCTCGTGAAATGTTGCTCAGCATGAGAAGCTAGAAGTACAAACACATTTCAGCTGCAACAGCTTTAATGATTTAGAAATAACAGTAATAATGTTAACCAGAACACGCAAGCCTATAGTCAAATAAGAAATAGATCACATAATAATTATGTTGTATAGTACTAGCGAATGCTATGTCAAATATTTTATTAGGCTTTCAGTTTTCAGTCTAAAAACCATCTTGGATTTAACTTTTGCAAGAAATAGGTAAATTATTTCTAAAAGTAATCAAGTTAAAAAGGAATCCAGAAGAAAACACAAAACAACAAGAAACAGAAAATGTGTTCTGTTCTTAACATCAAGAGCTGGATATAAAACTAGAACAAAGCCCCCAGGTTACAAGGGTACAATTGTTAGGGGAAGATTGAAACCAACCAGCCCTGGCCGGCACCATAGTAACCATTTGCATGAGTTGTTTTAGGACAGGAGGTCCTGGTAAGGAACAGGGAACTAATAAGCCTCCACCAACCATAGGAGTTCGTGAAAGGTCAAAAGGAGACACCACCTGTTCGACCACCACCTCCCAGAATCCTTCTCTCTGGCATCCATCTTGGCTGAACAAGGCGTGGGCCACCAGGAAGGACTCTGAGTCAGAATGATTGGCTAAGGACAACCCGGAAACTAATCCCATCACTATAAAACCCAAGACTGCGAGCCATGAGGCAGAGCAGTCCTCCTGGGTTCCCTTACCCTCCTGCTCTCCATCCAGGCGCCTTCCCAAATAAAATCTCTTGCTTTGTCAGCACATGTGTCTCCTTGGACAATTCATTTCCGAGTGTTAGACAAGAGCCCAGTTTCGGGCCCTGGAAGGGGTCCGCCTTCCTGCAACACAATAACAAGGCCGGTCCCGTATTTCCACCTGCTGGCACCATTGAGAGGAATGCCAGTTAGCTGAGTGCCAATTACCCACGTGCGTCAAAAGGTAAGCACATCGCCTGACAGGGTGCAGTTCCGAAGAGGGAGGAGCCCGACCACCGGAGAGACCGAAGCGACGAGGTATGGGCAAGAGGGGAACCACCAAGGCGGGCACGAAGGGGTCGGTAACACTGTGATGGTCAAGGCTCAAGGCTGCTGTGACTAGAAAATCAGTTTAGAACTGCAGGTCCCTGACGGAGCTGAGCTGCCCTCGCCTGCAAGATCGCCTCAGGCCTCAACGGGATGCTCCGGAGAAAGAGGGGCGCAGGTCAGACCTCATCCCCAGCGGGGAGGGCACGCAGGAAGCACTCGGCCGCTGGGAGCCGGCAGCCGGGGAACTCGGCCTAGGTCTCTGAATCCTCCTTTCAAACGAAGCACAACTCCTCAGCCAGGAATCCTTCAGAGAGGAGACACATGCCCTCCCTCCCAGGGACGACGAGGAGGGCGGGAACGCAAACTTCACGTGCCTCTAGGGAGGGACAGACGCCCCCTCCCCAAACCCCAGAACGGGGAGAAGGCAGAATAGCTACCAGCCCTGCCCGGCCTGAGGCTCCCATCCTGCCACAGGCTCCCATCCTGCGCCAAGACAAACCCGGCTCCCTCACCGGAGAGGGGCAAAACGGTCTCTCAGCACCCGCCGCAGGGGCCAAGTGGAGTCCGGCTGCCTCAAGGAGGGAGGAAGACAGGGAGACACACAGACCTCTCTTCAAAACCAGATTCCCCCCAGTCACGGAGATTAAAAATCACAGGAGAGACACACTAATTAAAATGAACCACACACAATGAAATGAATGAACCACGTGATGTAACTGGACTGAAAGTCACACATACATATCACAGGATTTTATTCATAAGTTTAAAAACAAGCAAGGTGAATCTATGCTGTCAGAAGTTATCAGAGAGTTTTCTTCAGGGAAAAAAGGCAGGCATGACAGACAGGGGCCACAAGGGGGAATACCTAGGATGCTCACGGTGTTTCTTTTATGCTCATTATGCTAACGTGCAAATTTGCAGCTACACAACAGTACAGTGCACATTTCTGCTGTCAGGTATATAATTTAAATAGAGAGAAATTATACTCTAAAAATCCACAGCAGTGCTTTCTAGTACTAACAAAACTAAGAGAGGAAAATAAACTGAAATGAACTTGTCCACAAGTAGGTAGGTATTGGATAACTGGGCTATATTTTCTACCATCACTTGGACATTTTCATTTCCCCCTGGAGTTATCTGCCCCATTATGGGCCCCAGTCATTATATTTCACAATGTGTTAAGTCTCTCTCAGAGGCATGCACTAATACTTCTTTAACTCACAAGGAGTTTTAGAAGTACTATCAGGGACAAGCAGGTGAGGAAGGTTGTCACAGCAATAATCTCAAAACAGGAAATATGTGAAGACCAGAGTCTATTGAACAAGAGGCAGGGGAATGAGATGGGCTAGGGTAAGGATGTGTATTTGGGTCCACAGGAAAATCAACAGAGTCTGATGACTTGGCCATGATTGGTACACAGTGGGTGCCTGTCAATGCCATGCTCATAAATAGATCCTCTGAGACCTTAACTGCCACTATTCCACAGGAGTGTTCCCTGAGCAATCTCCCCCAGCTGGCTCCTAAATGCTTGCAGAGATCTGTAGAGACACACAGCTCCCATCCCAGCATTTCATGCTTTGACCAGACCTTCCAAGATATTAAACAGCTACACCCTAAGAAGCTGTGAAAAGAAGTGAAGTGAAAAGCAAAGGAGAAGGAAAGATATACCCATTTGAATGCAAAGTTCCAGAGAATAGCAAGGAGAGATAAGAAAGCCTTCCTCAGTGATCAATGCAAAGAAATAAAGGAAAACAACAGAATGAAAAAGACTACAGATCTCTTCAAGAAAATTCGAGATACCAAGGGAATATTTCATGCAAAGATGGGCTCAATAAAGGACAGAAATGGTATGGACCTAACAGAAGCAGAAGATATTAAGAACAGGTGGCAAGAACACACAGAAGAGCTCTACAAAAAAGATCTTCACGACCCAGATAATCACAATGGTGTGGTCACTCACACTCACCTAGAGCCAGACATCCTGGAATGTGAAGTCAAGTGGGCCTTAGGAATCATGACTATGAACAAAGCTAGTGGAGGTGATGGAATTCCAGTTTAGCTATTTCAAATCCTAAAAGATGACTCTGTGAAAATGCTGCACTTAATATGCCAGCAAATTCAGAAAACTCAGCAGGGGCCACAGGACTGGAAAAGGTCAGTTTTCATTCTAATCCGAAAGAAAGGCAATCCCAAAGAATGCTCAAACTACCGCACAATTGCACTCATCTCACATGCTAGTCAAGTAATGCTCAAAATTCTCCAAGCCAGGCTTCAGCAATATGTGAACCGTGAACTTCCAGATGTTCAAGCTGGTTTTAGAAAATGCAGAGGAGCCAGAGATCAAATTGCCAACATCCCTGGAACATCAAAAAAGCAAGAGAGTTCCAGAAAAACATCTACTTCTGCTTTATTGACTATGCCAAAGCCTTTGACTGTGTGGATCACAATAAACTATGAAAAATTCTGAAAGAGATGCGAAAACCAGACCACCTGACCTGCCTCTTGAGAAATCTGTATGCAGGTCAGGAAGCAACAGTTAGAACTGGACATGGAACAACAGACTGGTTCCAAATAGGAAAAGGAGTACATCAAGGCTGTATACTGTCACCCTGCTTATTTAACTTAAATGCAGAGTACATCATGAGAAACGCTGGGCTGGAGGAAGCACAAGCTGGAATCAAGATTGCCAGGAGAAATATCAATAACCTCAGATATGCAGATGACACCACCCTTATGGCAGAAAGTGAAGAAGAACTAAAGGGCCTCTTGATGAAAGTGAAAGAGGAGAGTGAAAAAGTTGGCTTAAAGCTTAACATTCAGAAAACTAAGATCATGGCATCCGGTCCCATCATTTCATGTCAAATAGATGAGGAACACAGTGGCTGACTTTATTTTTCGGGGCTCCAAAATCACTGCAAATGGTGATTTCAGCCAAGAAATTAAAAGATGCTTACTCCTTGCAAGGAAAGTTATAACCAACCTAGACAGCATATTGAAAATCAGAGACATTACTTTGTCAAAAAAGGTCTGTCTAGTCAAGGCTATGGTTTTTCCAGTAGTCATGTATGGATGTGAGAGGTGGACCATAAAGAAAGCTGAGCGCCAAAGAATTGATACTTTTGAACTGTGGTGCTGGAGAAGACTCTTGAGAGTTCCTTGGACTGCAAGGAGATCCAACCAGTCAATCCTAAAGGAAATCAGTCTTGAATATTCATAGGAAGGACTGATGCTGAAGCTGAAACTCCAATACTTTGACCACCTGATGCAAAGAGCTGACTCATTTGAAAAGACCCTGATGCTGGGAAAGATTGAGGGCAGGAGGAGAAAGGGACAACAGAGGATGAGATGGCTGGATGGCATCACCAACTCAATGGACATGGGTTTGGGAGGACTCCAGGAGTCGGTGATGGACAGGGAGGCCTGGCGTGCTGTGGTTCTTGGGGTTGCAAAGAGTTGGACATGACTGAGCGACTGAACTGAACTGAATAGGAGGAAATGTATTAGTCCTTGGACTTATTTACATTTCCTAAAATTCTAATAATCATTTTTCAACCCATCCACTCATTCCACAAATATGTATTGAGCACCAAGTAGGTGCCAGGCAGGCACAGAAGATAGAGGACCCTGTACAATAGGTATGACTCCTGCCCTTCCATAGTTGATATTCTTAAGGAAGAAATCAGAATGAGCAAAACAAATATATAAACGGTGACTATTACAAGGTAGTGTGTGGCTTGGAGAAAAAGAACACAGGGAAAGAGCAAGACAGGTTCTGGAGATGAGCTGACACCATAAACTTCCAAAAGTTGGCACAAGGAGGCTCCACTGCAGTAATGCTGAGCAAGATCTAA